ATTTTCTCTGTGCTTCAAGTCGCCGCTGATGACGCTGCTTCCGGCATCAGTTTTCGGTGTCTCTCTTCGTCTGATGCCTACCCTTTGACCTGTCCAGCAAGGGAGGCCCTGCCAGTAGCTACGCTACCGCTGGTATAGCTCTCAGGGTCCTTGGCATACTCAAACACCCTCACCACGATAAGGTGGAGACACCAACGAGGGGATGTACAATATATATATACAATCACACACACACACTTAACGCACAATTCACACAATAGACGCGCTCCTACGTCCATTATCAATAATTGCATTTCAGAGGCCCATCTGCTTATGTCATTTCACGAAAGTCACACCTTCTAGGCAATGTGAAGGTAGTAAGTAGTAATGCTAGGTACTAGGGCCTCCGGAAAGGGGGGGCTATACTACAAGCCGGAAGGTGCTGGTTCAAGTCCCGATGAGGTCATTGGATTTTTTCAATTGACCTAATCCTTCCTGCCGCCCTATGGCCCTGGGGTTGACTCAGCCTCTAACAGAAATGAGTACCAGGAATTAATTACATAATTTTCCTGGGGAGTAAAGCGCGGCCGGTGCGTAAGGCTGACAAACCTTACCGCCATCTTTGAGCCGATTGTCTAGATCAGGCATGTCAAACTCAACTTGTACAGAGGGCCACCTCAGCCCTATAAATAATAGTGCAAGGCCGCACTTCAAAATAGAAATATACATTAGATTTTGATACAAGGAAATTTAATTCTATTTATTATTTAGGAATAATTTCAATGTAATTACCTAAGTCACATATATTAGGTTTAAAAAGCATGAAAATGCTATTTTTGACAAGTATCAAACAGCTTTTCAATATGTAAAAAGAGAGATTACACAAGAAATTATGTTAGAAATAGCAGAACACTGAATTTCCTGCAGGCTGCTAATTTATGTCTGCATGAGACTTCTTGTCTTCTGGTCTGTTGGAAAATTGTCTTTACAAAAAATATTTCTACTAAAATTTTAATATTAATTTTAACATCAATTAGCTCCTAAAGTTGAGGGGCTTGTGGCTATGGGGGCCGCATGTTTGACACAGCTGGTCTAGATAATGTGGGACCCTCAATATCTCACAACCCTATGGGCCTTCACAGCCTGGTACAGGGATAGCTTTACTTTACTTTTACTAGGGGCTCCACGCAATCACAGTCCAGTGATACCACATCACTAAATACTGAAAATAAAAAATAAAAACATAGACCTTAAACTCCTAAATAAGCATATTTCATGAAATTGACAGCTGGCAGCAGACACTGTTCGCAGGTCCTTCTACCGACAGAATTATTACCACTTGTATCCAGTGCGTGCATTGTTCTACCGACGCACTGTGTTATAACAATCTCTCGCATAATTATTACACTTTTGTATACAGAAGGATGTAGTTGCAGCGTAGATGATAAAGGCATATAGAGAATTGATAGGTGTAAAATACAGAAGCAATACGCAGCAGTAATTAATATTTAGCCTGCACTCAAGTTAGGCCTGAAGGAGAAAGCTCGAGGCACGGGCGTGGTCATGAGACCCGCACTCTGAACTAGATGTGTTTAACAAAGTTCTTTTTATGGCTTCTCGCATGTATATATCGAAAGCCATGTTATTAATTTACTGTCACTCCAAGCTATGCCAACATAAGCTTTCGCGAAGGCGCATGTCTTCCCTGACAAGATATATTGATGAGATCTAAAAGTTTGTGACGATGGTATATTGGTACAGATAATGTAACAATGTTAATAATGTTACAGTGTAACATTGTATAATGTATACGTTGTATAATTGTATAATTCATCGTCTTGTCTTTATCCAAAAACCGCCATGTTTATTTTTCAAAACACAACGTTTCGGAGACTGGATTCTGTCTCCCGTCTCCCGTCTCTCCGGAGAGCGACTAGCTCTGTCGATTAGGCCCAACTGAGTAGTTTTTACATGAAGACGGAGACAGAATCCAGTTTCCGAAACGTTGTGTTTTGAAAAATAAACAGGGAGGATTTTAGATAGAGACAAGACGATGGATAATGCCCAAAAACATAATATTTGTGCCAAGATATACTAAGTTTCACGAATTTCGAAATATGTATAATATTGGTGTTTGACTAGGACAGCTGGAGAATGCCAGTAGAGTTCTGAAGGACGCTTTTGTAAATAGTACTATGGGTACAATTCGGTGGTGAGCCCCTTGAAGAAAATAGAGGGCTACATCTTTCTACCGTACTACAATACCAATAATGTTATAATGGTTTGAAATATTAGACGCTCGCTTTGTTTAATTGTGCTTTTTCAGCTTCAGTTCTTCTGTAATTTTGAATTGTCGAAGGAAATGATTGTGGCCCTCTTAAGGTACTACAGAAGAACTAATCTCTGGGCCCATGACCTTAACACGGGACTCACGAATAAAATAACAAACTTCTCCGCCACAATATTCCTCTGATAATCGATTACCCGAAATTATAACAATTTTTATATGGAGAGGTCTGTCCCTTTCAGGAAACTGATTTGGTGACATCTGTTCCAGAAAGAACAGGACTTAAAATAATGCAAGGTTTCAGTAATTAACCACACCCACCTTGTCAAGGTTGGTGTCACTGGGCCCATGCAACCTGTTTGTAAAATAGAGCACTTGCAGTTGATCTGAAGCTTGGTCTTCCCCCGAGATACACAAGACGTCTGGAAACAAAGCGCTGCAGATGGTACTCGATCAGAAAGAAAGGAAGGAAACAGAAAAATTGAGACTCATATGAGGAACATTATAATTTGTAAAAAAAGATAGAGCTATCCCTGTAACAGGCAATGGAGGCCTATAGGGTTGTGAGACGCCGAGGCTTCCACACTTTCTAGACAGTCAGCTCACAGATGGTGGTGAGGTTGTCAGCCTTACACACTAGCTGCCCTTTATCCTCAGGAAGATTCCTGGTACTCATTTCTGTTAGAGGCTCAGTCGACCACACATCCATAGTATTGCTGGAAGGATTAGGTCAAATGAAAAATTCAGTTACCTCATCAGGGATCGAACCTGCAACCTTCTGGCTTGTGCCACAACCAACTAAGCTACTGTGGGCCCCCTTTAAAATTTGTACTTTTCACGTGGTATTATTAAATAAGAAAGGCTGGAATGGACAAGACACGCAACAAAGGCAGAAAATACTAAAAGTGCAAAAATATTTACATTTTAAAATGTCATGGGACAATAACTTTACACAGGCTTAGGTGTAGATAATGGAATTATAATAATAATAATTTGGTCTCACGGAAATAATTAATGGAGATGTGGAATGGATTGATTATAGAATACTCGTAAAATGGTAGGCTTTCATGATGACGGTGAGCTCCGAGACTACATAACAGAAGGCAATTTCTTTGCCAGCTGAATAACCATAAGCTCTGTAGCAATAAATGTACACATTGTAGCTATAAAAATACACTGGTTTGTAAAGTGAATGTTTGCCAAGCAGGTTGGTATAGTAATAATGCTGTAAACTCTCATTCGGTGATACTTAACTCAAATCTCGTCTGAAACACCAGCTATCCTAACAGGCATTTCATTGTTTTTCCCATTCCTTCCACCCGACTTCCATTATATTAGGCAATTAGGCCATGGTTGATTTCTTTAAAGTCCCATAAATAGTAAAAGAAGCAAATATACTGAACTTCACTTGTGGCCTCTGCTTGTATTTGGAAATATCTTGTAGCATAGAAGATAAAGATACCAGGCCCTTGAAGATTAAGTCTAGCATATCCTTATTTAAAGAAGCTTTCTTCCTTTGGTTTACTTCAATGCTAACATAATTTATATTGATGAAATTCACAGATAGTTTGCTTCAACTCCTTAGAGATGACAGGACACGCTTCTCCCATTGAACTTGTCAAACACCAAACAGATCAGGGCAGGTCGTTGCTACAATTAATTCCAGTTTATTTTTGAATCATAAAAAATCAACTACATGATAAAAAATCATTTGGTTGTTGATAGTTATTCAAATGACCAAGCAACCCCATGTTTTCTTTCTTTCTTTCTTTCTTTCTTTCTTTCTTCCTTCTTCTTCTTCTTCTTCTTCTTCTTCTTTGGGGGGGGGGATGAGGTTCAATGCTGTATTTCATGTCCACCAATGCATACTATCTCTCATGCACTAGTTCACCATCCTCCTTTATTACTTATTTAACTTAAAACCATTTTAATTTTCACCTATCTACCCTAGAACTCACAAATGGTCTACTCCCACAATGCCTTCTGTTGTAATTTTGATGTGTATATTTTGTTTTTCTTTGTACCTTCTCTGCTAATATCATCCTTACTGATGTAGCGATTCTTTTGCAGGAAATGGAAATGAATAGAAATGCCTCAAATATCTCAAAGAGAAATATTGCATTTTAACATAGTTCCTGTGTTCCCACTGATTTTTTTTCCCTTTTTTCCCCCCATGGCTAAACCAAGGAAGAGATAAAGTAGAGGTATTAGTTCTTAGTGTTACATATGCCCTTTCTGCATTTTAAGATGCGTATTTCAAGCAGAAAGTTGAAAAGTCACAAGACAAGATAATTATATGTTTCACTAAGGTTAAAGAAAAGACCCTGTCACTGCAAAGTACAGTAAAAAATTGACTCTTTGTGGTTGGCACTCCTAGAATAAAGTACCTCAAATGTCAGCAGTAAATAGAAAAAAAATTACATGCGACTCTTTAGTATGAATCACCTTCAGCATATAGGAACCTTAAACTTGTTCCAATGATCATTATGTTTTGGTGATGAAGATATGGGTCTATGCAAGGCTGATATGTTACTGTATATGTTCCTGTTTGTTGTTTTTACTAACTTGAGATGCATTCCAGTGATGGGATTTTGTGAACATTTTGGTGAACATATGTTCATGTCTAGATAACATTTATCCTAGAACAACAGGTCTTGTATCAAATATATACAGATCTTATTTGATTTATTCTTTACACTTTTCTTCTATTGAGTGGTGATCTCTCTTATTTCAGATTTGGCACAGTGGACAGTGGATGATGTCAAGGCATGGCTCCTATGGACGCTACGCCAGTACAGTCTGCCAATGATACAAATGGAATACTTCAATATGGATGGTGTGGCATTCTCAGTCCTCTCAGAAGAGGAATTCCAGAAGAGAGCACCTGAAGTAAGTACTGGAATGAAACTCACTTTTACTTATGGATGATATACACACAAAGATGGATAACTAATTTTCTGTTCTGACTAACACTATACTTGCCACTGTTTACAAACTTTAAAAGGTAAGAAATATGTTGAGCATAGAACACAAATGTAAATTTTTAAAACAAAATTATAAATAATTTATGCAGACTGTAGAGGGATGAAGTAGTGGGCATTCCTTTTCCACCTCACTGGCCCCTGGACATTAGCCTGCAACATTATATTTATATGCATATATTCATGAAATCCATTTTAATAGCTGAAAGCCATTATCTCAATAATAAAGACATATATATATATGTGTGTTTGGGGGTGTGTGAACAAAATGTACAAAATGTAAAATATTTCTTATTAATTGCTGTAATTTTTTAAAAATATTATTCAATATATGAAATGAAAAGGCGAGGGTTTATGCAGTTCAGATCCAGACTCTATCTAGCTGATAAGTCTTAGTAAGAACATGGAATACAAGCACTCAGAGCAGAGTTAATGTATTTCAACAAATAATAGGCACTCACACATTGTTACAAAATATGCCTTAAAACTAACGGATTTTACTGTTGATGGGATCTTCTCACACAAGCCAAACATGACCACCTCTGGTTTTCTCCTGTTCCTTGGCCTCTTTAAGTTGTTCTACTTCATCGTTACTCTCTCCTTCTCTTCTTCCTCCTCCACAGATGAGTAAACTGCATCTGTCAGGGATTAGGCTTTTTTTCATGAGACGTGAGTTTTTCACACAACCTCCAGACATTCTATCAAGTCTCTGTAATGCATTGTTCCTACCCCACACAGTGCGGCAGTACACTCTATGCTCGCCTGGAAATTTGGAAGGCAGCTTGTACAGAAGTGGAATCGCAGCCAGAAATGAGTAGCCAAGCCCAATGGAATAGCAGCAACAATTCAAGTGGGTCAAGTGGTGAGGTGTCTGAAGGTGAGTGAAGACTGTGGAAACACTGAATTTATATCCAAATTACAGACTGCCTTACAATTGAAAGTACTGATTTTAGGGCAGTGACTGGTCAGGTCATTGGTTTAAAGTTGATTCAGTGGCACTGGTTACTCATGACTGTTTAAACTTGAGAATTAAATTTAAACTTCTTTGACCAAAATTTGAATGACAGCATTTCCTTCAAACCACAATTTGGACTTCAAAAATTGGATAGTAGCAGTTGTTCTGATACAGATTTAATGGTTCATATACTGTGACTTGATCATGAAACGCTTTTTGGAAAACTTTGTTTACCATATGCGTATGAGTTTGGCAGTAGCTCATTCACCCATGACTGTTTCATAAACATTTTATTACCTTTAGAAGAGAGACCCTCAGGCCCTCAAGAAAATGTACAATTGAAAATAAGTACTGCGCATGGTTTTGATATCTCTTAAAAGTGTATATGAACTGTATACAGTAGTAAGCCAAATTTGAAGAAAATGGTAGATCTGAATCTGGCATGCCTCATTGGCTTGGTCATTTCACAGGCAGGAATTATATTATATTGAAGGAAATATGAATTTCACCTCATTGCTTGTTACGTGATATCCATTCTAAGTGAAATTGAACCGTTGATCAGCTTTTATGAAATTTTACAAGACTATCCTTCTATTACTCATTTCTCTAAAGCCATGTTTTTTTATTCTACTTGCAACAGTATTAACATGGCATCCATGCAGATTTTGACATGGAAGCAACATTAATGTAATATGCTAGAAACTTCATTTCATGCATCCTGTTGTGTTACAGTATATAACTTTATTTTTCTGTCGCAACACAACAACTAAGGAGTATCCAGCTATGCCTCACTACATGTTTCGGCCATTAATGGCCATCATCAGGTGAATACAAATCAACAAACATATACTATTGAACTGTAGTAAAATTAGATACAATGACAAAATAGTTAATTCTTTTGTGTAAAAATACAATGGTCATTTATGTATAAAACTGAAGGTTATATAATATAAAACAAGATTAAAATTGATGTTTTATAACATCTAATCAGTCGTATGTTTACTTTATATGCTCCGTGGACAAAATAAAAATATAAGATGTTGTTGGAGGCCCATGACGTTGCAAGTTAATTAATAGAGTAGAGGTGCCTCGTCATACGAAAGAAAATGTCCGTACTGTATGAGGAGTAAACAGATATCGGAAAATATTCCTTTGTAAATAGGACCATCCAACTCTGGAACCAACTACCAGCAGATGTTTTAGGGACTCTGTCCTGTAAATCAAGTAATTTTAGGAAAAGGGTTAGGAAAGCAATAAATAAGGTGAAGTGAAGGTGTGGGGGGGGGCACTAATTAAAAATGCAGTGAAGTGAAGTGAATGGAAGGGAAGTAAATTGTGGTGAGGATGTGAAGGGTGCATAAGTGTAGTGAAGTGGAATGAAGAGAAGGTCATGGTGAAATGTGTGTGCATCAGTTCATGACATTTCATATTCCAATGAATGCTATTACTGTTCAGTGTATAGTATACTTATTTTTTTGTTGATATTAATTTATTTAATTGTAGTTGTGAATGTATTTGTTCTAGTTGTAATTGTATTTGCTGTGTTTGTTTGAGTGTGGTGTGTTATTTTGTGTGATGTGTGTTATTTGTGTGTTGTGTCCTATTATAGTACCACTTGCCACGGGGTAAAAACCCATTTGCAGTTTAAATAATAATAATAATAATAACAACAACAACAACAATAACAATAATAATAACTGGCATATAGTATTAATATCAGGAATGCATGGAACTTTACCTCCATTGCCCCATATGTTTACATGGCATGCTTAAGAACAGGCACAACTTTACCTTTAAATATATTTAGGTATATGTAGGTTAAAAAGTGTTCTTTAGCTTCTGAACGTACAGTGTTCCTTTTTCACAATCATATGCAAGCTGGTTACCTGTCTGTATGTCACCTAATTCACTTACAGACACTGATACTGTTAAACATTCAGTTTCCATTCAAATTACTATTTGTACAATGGTGGACATTTTGTGAAAGTCATCCCTGTAACAGGCCATGGAGGCCAATAGAGTAATAAGATGTCAAGGCTCCCACACTTTCTAGACACTTCGCTCACATATGATGGTGAAGTTTGTCAGCCTTACACAGGAAGATTCCTGGTACTCATTTCTGTTAGAGGCTGAATCTGATGATTTTCTTTGTGTCATGCTTACATATCACTTAACAGCCATATTGGATGAGAAGAAACTTTTTATTACAATACAAAACAAAAACAAATGAATATAGATCACTATTACCAACTTGAACATTTTTACGTTACTAGATTCTCAACAGAATCAACTCCAGGGCCATAGTGCTGCTAGAAGGCTTAGGTCAATTAAAAAATCCAGTGACCTTATCGGGAATCATACACGCAACCTTCTGGCTTGTATCATATAGTGCCTCAACCAAGAAGCAGTTGTGGTCTGCTTGATGTACTATTCAAACATTTGTCTGGAGGGACTGATGAAAGGCATTTTCTGTTGGATAGCTTGTCTGTAGACTGCAGGTTGACCAGTCTTTCACTCTCACCATGGTGCAGGGTCTTTATTTCAAGGACAGCAGTTAGCTGGGCTAATTAGGAAATTCTCTGCTGTTATGAAATGTGAAGGTTCATTGCCATGTTCACAAGAGCTAGATATTTGTTCAGTACAGTGTACACTCTCATGCTCTCTTTCTCTCATTTTGTATTTGTATTATGTGTTCCACCCATATCATCTCTCATCTCTTAACAATTTTAACTGTGGGGCTCCTCAGTATGGAATATTTTCCATCCTCCTGCTACTTCCCATTTCTAGGTCCCCATCATCTTCCCTTGAAAACTTTGTTTAGATTCATCCTTAATCTTCGCTCCATCTTTAATAGCATCAACAATGCACTGGCAGCAACATGGATATAGTAATAAAGTGTTTCACAGCTTACTACACTGCTCTTTTCACTGCGCACTACGCACTTGTTACTATGTTGAGGAGTGATTTCTGATGATGACTCAGCTCAAATTAGTGTATAGTATGTTTTTAATTCTTTTTTATACTAGAAGCGCCTGACATTTAGTTGGAATCTGGTATTTGTTTAGAAATGATGAATGCAAATACATTTTTGGGACAAAAAGACAGATCTGTGTTTTAACTTTGTTGCTGTCAGTCTTAGAATTTCCTGTTTGTTTTGTAATACTTCTAATATTGTGGGGGAGCAGAAGGAGCTGTATGTTAATAGTGATCCAATTTAGTGATCCTTACTCATGCAAAATTTCACTATTACAGATTATGTTAAATTTGTATGGTATGCATTGTCACCATGATTGTAATTGTTAAAATTAAGTGCACTAATATTATTCACATCTCACACATTCACATGACTGCTGGCTTATAGTAAATGTAAAATTGTACCTATGCTTAATTAAACACTGTGCCATGAAGCTGTATGGGACAGTGGAAGTACACTTTTGAAGCTAGTTATTTAATAATGCTGTCATCATCAAAACTATGTGGTATTGTATGATATGATGATTAATGAATGCGTAGTAGTTAGTGAGGTGAGATTTGTCAGGGAAACTCAAAGTACTCAGAGAGAACTTGTCCCAGTGCTGTTTTGTCCACCTGAAATCCCGCATGTCATAACCTGGTGTTGAACTTGGGCCACTGCAGTGAGAAGATGGTGAGTAGCCACCTGAGCTATAGCACAGCCTGAGTGGAAATACACCTTCATGCATTCTTAACCTTGGCACTAGATGGAATTGAATGGTCAGCTTTGTACTTCAGTTGCTATCCCAAGGGAAAATGGCTCCCAGTATCCAGTGGATAGGAAGTGTACTGGGTCCCAGAGTTGGTTTGAACACTGTGCAGAAAAGAATATCTGTATTTACTGAAAAGGATAGAATAGAAAATATTGTAATTCTTGATTGAAGCTAAATGAAAGTTCATTTGCTGTAATTGATGCATTTCTTTATTGATCCTAAAATGAAGTTATGAATTATCACATTATTGTACAGCTAATCATGTTGTATTTGACTGTAGGCATTATAGATGACAGTAACACAGGTTTTTTTTGAAAGTGAATGGATATTTGAGCACATGTTATGCAGAATTTTGTATTGCAGCCTAATTGCATGGACTTCATTCCATGAACAGGAGCTGTGTTAACTGCAACAAGTAAATCTGTCAAATGTCATGCAATATTTATGGGATTACTGATTATAATTACTTATTATTGTGGTGAACTCCTTCAAAGGAGGCAGTTTAATGTTATGCAAAGATGGAAAGGAAATACAAAAGCCTTTATCACAAATGTTGTAACATAAGATGAAATTACAGAAGCAAACTACTGCTCTGGAAGAAAATTTCCAAGTTATTAAAGTTCTTAGTTCATGATGAAAGAATATAGGAAGATATCACCATTAGCACCAGAATATACATAAACCACAACAAAAATTTTGCCAGCATTTGAATCTCCTGTTGCAGCTGTAGAGCCCAGTATGAGTGAGTTTAATACACATGAAGGAATCAATCATGAAAGTCCTGAAAGTGAAAACAGGTAAATTCAAGCTGCCACCTCTCGTGAGGAAATGCTTGTAGAAGATTTCTACAGCAAACCAGTATTTGAGGGACATGATGCAATGAGATGCTGAATATTTGAAGTTGTGATGTGAAGATTAGTGTTAAAAGGAGACAGTGAAGAGGGATGTGAAGATTAGTGTTAAAAGGAGACAGTGAAGAGGGAGGTAATTTTAACAAGTGGGACTTCTTACTGGCATCAGAATTTATAGCTAAGTTTGATCCTTCTGGCCAAACACCTTGAAACATGTAGAAACCAAGGCCGCAGAGTAACCTCATGCATATCTTCAGTAACATATGTAGACATTATATCGTTGATGGAAAGGAAAATTCATGAGATAATTTCCCAAGAAATGTGCCATGCCAAGTACTTCTCCTTAGCCCAGCATGTCAGAGTGCGATTAGTTTGACCACAATACTATAATATGTGTACAGGTATGAAGAAGGTATGTATTGGAGTTCTTCTTTGATTTTTGAGTGTTCAGCTGTACATTCATGCAGGATCAATTATGGACGTATTTATGTCATAATGAATAAACTGGGAATCAACATTCAGAATGCACTTGGTCAATTGTATAACACCACCAATATCTCTGGGAAGTACTTTGGCCTCACAGGTGACCGAGTTCTTCCATCACTCTTGCTAATATAGCTGAACTATATCTCTTCACCGTAGCTCCTGACAAACAAACAAATGTGCCACTACAACCACAAAACAAGTGGAATCCCAAGGAATGCTAAATCATGTAGTCATGCGATCTAACATGTGTTAACTCACCAGTGTTGCTAGTTGCTGCACAGAAATATCGGTTCATATGAAGAGTGTTTTTTCTGGGGTGTTATGTTGTGTAGTCTGTAGATGTTTACTCACATTTCAAAAGACTATGTAACACCACCCTGAGGTTATTGTTATTGGTTGGAGAATGAGGTAATAGAGTCCTTAAAATGGTCGGTAGACATCTACTACACAACATAGTGTACCATCCCAGGGTCACCACTATTAAAACCTTGAAATTCACATCAATCAGTTATTTGTCATAGCTTTCCTCATTTAAGAAAATGTGCTGAAAACTTCACAACATTGATGAGATTCTTTCCTGGGGGTAAGAAGCAAATATTGTTCAAAATCAGATACAGTATAGCCTTGCTATAAATTGGACGTTGGGAGGGCAGCTTCACTATCTGGATTGTAAATGAAATTTACACATACATATGTGAGTCTGTAGACGGGCTGTGGATTGGATATTTGATTTATTGACCATTTGTATACACCATTTGGAACTACAAATAATTGCAGCGCAACTGCTAATCTCGATAATTCAGAGATCTCCACAGCACCTGCTAAGCCTTCTCAGTCTGCTTTTGCTAGTCGTTGCTTGGTAACAGCTCTCAAAAATGGTTGTTCCCTTGCAGTGTTTTCACTAGACGTTTCCTGGTTATGAATCTTAACAATGAAGATTCTTCAGCTTCCATGATCACACTGTTGCCCACTGGTTAACACTCCACACCTGAGCTCACAGCGTCATCTCAGCCTCCCTTGCAGAACCCAATTCTCGACTAACTGCTCACTTCAACCTCTGGAACTCAACTGCTGATTCTCAAGTCAGAGTCAAAGTCACAATGCAACTGATGGCCAGTCAGTCAGTCAGTCAGTCTTGGTGTTGAACCCAGTCTGGGGCTTATGACCAGATATTTATTACTGTTTCTGAGTCTGAGTCTCATTTTACGACCGACGGTCAGTCAGCCAGTCTTGTCTTGGCATAAAGCACCCATCTGGGGTTTGCGACCATATCTTTATTGCTGTTTGACTGTTACGGTCTTGGTTATTTTGTGGGTGCCCTCTCTGACGAGAGGACTGGTCTGTCCTTTGTACATGCTGTTGGTCTTTGCCAGCGCAGTCTTTCTCGGGTCCGAGACCCTTGGTACTCAAGACCATATTTTACTATCTCAAATTTGAGACTTCCCTTTTTGTTGCCTCCTACGTCTCGCAGGGTCATGGTGGAGGTCAGCCAAACTCTTCTTTATAACCACTTTGCACGGACGGAATAGAAAACATCATTTCCAGCAATACTTATATTGTTGTAGGCGTGTTAACCGATCCGTTGCTTAGAAATGGTTTGCATAACACCGTTGTTCTATTGTTGTGGGCGTTACCTACCAACGGCTGCTGTTTACGGAGTCGCCTATTAGCAACAGGTGTATTCGTCACAATATTTAACAATATTATTACAGCAATGAATACACATGCAGCAATAGAAGAATTGTTGGACACATCATTTTCTATGCGGTCCGTGTCATATTAAAAGAAAGCAGGCAACTAATTCTTCCCAATGGCTTTCAAAATTCCATATGTATATGATTATATAACAAAATTATGCATGCAAAAAGCGGAAGTCATACAAAATCATTTTCACGAAAATTTTCACAATATTGGACAAGGAAAAGCCCGACATAGAAAGTGTAAGAGGCTTGAACTTGGCAGTGGTCATACATGTGACCGTTCAAGTGACTAGACTGCTGTGGTAGTGAATACTGCAAGAAATAGGGCATAATCTGCTGTACTGAGCCTGGACTGACAGAGGCCTTGTATATATTGCACATAGACGTAGGAAGTAAGATTAAATTTGTAAATATATGTAAATACTGACAATGGACTTACTAATGCAGGCTATGACTGACAAAGGACAGACCCGACTCTTGTCAGAGAGGGCGCCCCAAATGGGCAGGACAGTAACTTTCATATAAGAAGAAACGTCTGGTCATGAACCCCAGCTGGGCCTCGACACCAAGACAGACAGACTGACTGACCGTCAGTCGCAATGTGACTTTGACTAATTCTTCCCAGCACTTCCTGTTTATATGCGTCGTTCCCCAGGGCTCTCCTCCTGGTCCAGAACATCTACATAGTTCTGAAAAACTCGAAAAAATTGGGAGGTGCCCAGTTCGAATTCCAACTGAAAATAGTATGAGAAATATGAGTAATTTGAGAGACTGTGCCAAGGGTTTTCGTGAATTTTGCCTGAATTGTTAGCACTGCAGCAACAAAAGCCTCATACTTCACTACCATGAGCTAGCTGAATCCAGTTCACATCACATGTTTCCAACAGACAATGCAACATCCATTCATATGCCTTGGTCTTCCAAATGACTATTTTCTCTGATTTTCTCTGTCAGATTGCTGTATTCATTTCTTGTTTCCATTTTGCATCCTACACAATCAGCCTATAGTTGAAGTTGATTAATATGAATAATCATTGTGTAATCATCTTCATTTTTAAGTCAAGGGTCAAGTTGTCAGCACCAGTCCCAGTTGTCATGTCAAACAAGACATGTCTCATATATTTGCCTCAGTAGTACTTGTGCTTGTATGTGATCAGAAAGTATCTGATGTGTTTCAGAGGAAGAAGAGGAGGAACCAGAACCTATGACCAGTACCAGCAGTGTGGGCAAGGTCCCTTCCAGCCGCTCTGGAGGTACTGGAGGCTCACACATACACCTGTGGCAGTTCCTCAAAGAGCTACTGTCCTCACCCCAGCTCCATGGCTCCTGTATCCGCTGGCTGGACCGCAGCAAGGGTGTTTTCAAGATAGAGGACTCAGTCCGTGTGGCACGACTGTGGGGTAAACGAAAGAACAGGCCAGCCATGAATTATGACAAACTGTCTCGATCAATTCGTCAGTACTACAAGAAGGGCATCATGAAAAAGACAGAGAGGTCACAGAGATTGGTATATCAGTTCTGCCACCCATACTGCCTGTAGGGAGGTATGATAAGTCATGAGTTTGTTTCTGTATCATCTCTTCAGTTGGGAGTAAATGGGGATATATTTATGGGGTTCTATTTATGTTCACATAGTAGCAGGTCTACTATTGTAGTACACATTGTTTGCATTTAGATGAGATATAGTTGCAGTTAACAATAGAGTAAGTTACATTAATAGGTTCTTCTCGTGCACTGTTGCAGTTAGCAAGGTCGTCACGATGAAGTTCAGTTATGCATAGGATAAGTTTCATTTAAGTTTTACTTTATTGTTTTAACTTCTGCCAGACTCTGTGTGTTGACAGACAGATATGAAAACATCTTAAGTCTGCTCAAACCAGATATGGTGGGAGATCAGTGTAATGCCAGTGGCAAGATGATATTTATGTCCCTGATAGGCTGGACCTTCAGATTCGAAATTGTGGAGACATAAAATATGGATATAATATATTGTAATTTATTTTTAATATGTTATAGCATTTAGAGGTGTCCAGACAGCTAGCAAAGTGGAAGGTAATTTCCACACAGCTGGCATCTGAGATGGTATGATACTCATAGATATTAAGTAGATCTTGATGTCTTGTGTGCATTGAATAACTTGCCGGGAAGTATGCACTGTATCATATTGTCCTATTCCAAAGTTCTACCTATGAGATGATTTTGATGTACTGTTGCCACTAGGATTTGTTTCAGTGCTCGGCTATGTTGGGTCCTTATGGATCTGGCACTGCCTCTGAAGCTTGAACCTAATTTAAGTAGCCAGAAACAACCACTGTTATCTAAGAATGGTAGAATTTAAGTAAATTTGGAAGTGGGCATTGTGGTACTTGAGTCATGCAGAAAACCGGTGATTTTTGGTCCCATATATCTATGATATATTCTCTCAAGTAAGTTCTATGAACAAAACTACCTGAATAGTTTAGTGGCATTAATACATGTTTATTTACTTTTAAGATTAGTAGTATTAATAACAGTTTTCTTGTGAAATTTGCATGAATAATATTGAATTTTGTATTTTTACATACTGCAAACAAATAATTGCTTTGTGTGGGACATACAGAATTACTGCTTTGTTGCCCTTAATTCTAACACATCAAATAATGGTAACCCATCATCATATGCTAGTGGTGGTTAGCACTCCTTTTTGTATTCAGGAGACCCCAGGTTCAAATCTAGGCTCGGAGAATGGCTGTCCTGGCTGAGTTTTTCTCGTGGTTTTTTGCAGCCCCTCCAGCCAACTGCCAGTGTAGTACCATAAATTAAACCACAGCTGTTTCCTTCCATATTTTTTACGATCCATTATTCATTAATAAATTGATTTAATTAATTTGATGTTATGTAATCTTAGCAATTGAAAGCATCATTAACTAAACCAACAATAATTAAACAAGATGCTTAATGGTGCCATATTTGTTTGCTAGCATTCCCCAGTCAGTGCGCTCTGTAGACCGGTCTTTTTCTTCTGTGGGAGAGAATGCTCACTCCCCCCCCCCCCACACACAACCCACAATTATCTCTGACATTTTATTTTATCTCCACTATAACCATCACGTGTCATAACCTTAACAGACATATTGTGATTTGAAAGGTGATGTCTGTATTATTGAAATCTTCTGTATATAATTTAGAGGCTTGTAGGATGAAATTACAAGAGTATTTTAGTTTCTGAAACATAAAATGTTGGATCACCGAACTGTCAGTGCCTTTAGAAATTATGTTATGCCTGTGTTTATATATTGATCCTGATTGTATCACTCATCATTGCCCATTTCATGCTAGAATTCCATCATAATAAATATCAGGTTTAAATAGGATCAATCTTGAGTTATTGAATTTAATATTGAATCAAATTTTGTCTAAGACATCTTTCAGGGTACGTCAGGCAACTTTACAAAAGAAAAGTCCTATATGTTCAACAGGACCCCTGGTATGGTGATTTGGTTCAAATCATGTATTGAAAATGGAACCTATTAACTTTCTAATGATGCTGTAGCTATACCACAATCTAATGATAACCCATCCACAAGGATGTTTACTCATTTCCCTGATGTTGAGGTTTAATACATATGTCAAAGTTTGTGCTTTATGAACTACACCTTACAACAGGTCTAGCATTCAAATTCAGACTCTGTGATCATTGTCAATTATTTCACTGCTTTTCTTCTGTGCTTGTTGATAACCATGTGTGACCTTAAACCAGAAGGAAGTCAATTGGAAAGATACAATATAACATCAGAACATTTAAATAAGTTAACTATAGATATTTCTACTTTTGTACTGACACCTTATAAAATTAAACCTTTTATTACATAAAACTCGGTAGTTTTGATACTGGTAATCCTTTCATGTAGCATGTGGTATATGTGATGTGTTTCTAAAACTGCAGTCATTGACAACTTTGCAAGTTTAGTGTTAGATTGTTATAGAATTGTTTTTATGTTCATAACAGTTCTTAAATTAGGTTAGTGGTAATGGGATTTGGGTTGGGGAACAACAAAACTGCAGATTGATTGTTATTACTTCAGTGAGAAGTACCATAGTTTTAAGATTTGTAGTTCTTCAGTTATGTACCTAATGGTATAGAGATGTCTGTAAGATTGGTATCTTTGTAGATCTTAGATATGATATTCTTATTTGATACTTATTTACTGGTTGCAGTTTTGGAAACTCCAAAATGAATATATTGTTTTAGATTTTTGAAGGCTTCATAATATGGTAACCAGTGAAAATGGAATAATAATCCCAAGTGGAATAGTACACAATATTTTTCTATTGTTAAGAATGGAAATCAAGGTTCTTGATTAATTTATTAATAAAGAGAACAATTTGATTCCACAACAAATATAATTGTGTTCACACTTAGTTTCTTTTAATTGATAGATAGAATCGAGAAATGTTATATGTAGTGCTTTTCATTTTTAAATTTTAAGAGAATCTTGTCTTCAGTCTGAAAACATTCTTAGCTGCAGATTAATAGATCTATTAAAGGCTATGAATATTTTGTAAATATACTAAGAAAGCATATGATTATTATTATGTAACATTTATTGAATTCTTTGATAAATAAAGAGCATTTATTTTGTATTTGAATTAATGTTGTTTTAATTTCTAATAAACTTTGTTAATATCTGTGTTACATTCCATTACAGCAGTGTAATTTTTTCCATAGGACTGTTGAATAAGTAATGTGAAATTAATCATACTTGAAGTTCTGTGTTCTGATATATAATGCTGTGTAGTCTTATGAAAGTCACATTCCATTTTAAGGTCAAAGGGTAAGCCAATCTTCACACCATCATGAAGAAGGCAGCAAACAGTACTCACTTTCTTGCTTTGCTTACTTTTGAGCTAGAAGACAGAAGCAATTTGTCACTTGAAAACATCACTTGACTTTCACTGAACTAGATGGTGTTATATCCCAGAAGGTAGAACTCTTCATAGCCGCAGCTGTGAGACCCCCAGATCCTCATGAATAGTTACTTAGACTGTGTAGAATTTGATGCTTATCGAGAAGACATCCATCTTCGTTCTTAAAACATGGCTTTGGCCATTATTGAAGAAGAATATGGTCTGGCAAAATGCGTTACAGTAACCTTTGAACTATAAACATATATTTTCTCTAATATCCTTATTTTATAAGGAAAGATGTTTATGTTGTCATATTCATGTACTTGGAACCTAAAATTTAAACAGAAAATTGTCCATGTTCCTAATTAAGAACCACAATATTGAAGATGGTGGGAGACTGGAGGTGTACCCCCATGCATTCAAAACCTATGCTCTAGATGGAGGTTAGTGGTTAGCTTCATGTCCTGATCCATCACCCCTGGGGAAAGAAGCGCCCCCTGGAATCCATGTGATAGAGATAGTCAGAATATTGTGAAGGATATAATCTCTAGCCCCTATCGGGAATCAAACCCTGATTTCTCTGTCATCTAGTTTGTAGCCTAGTCACAATACTGGCTGAGCTATGCCAGGTCCTGTTTGTGTGTCCTAATAGCTTTTAAATTAAATGAATTTTTCAATTTTAATATTAACCTTATACCTCCAAATCTTTATAGTTTGTACCTTGCAAAATTATTTGGTGGGTGTGACATTATGCACACTAGCATAGGATGTGGAAGTTTTGTGCCATGATAAATAGTTCTTTGACGAATATATAATATTTCTTGTACTTCTCGTAGAATATAAAAGTATGCAGCCAGCTGCCATGGACAATCTGTATTTGACTGTCAGTTTGATGGTGTTTGTAATGAACCATTAGAGCTAGGCATGAGAAATTTTTGTATGGGGGTAGATAACAACTGTACCCACAAATTTTGTATGATTTTTTTGTGTCAATAGCTGCAAACATGATGGCATTGCAAAATGAGATTATTTTGGGGAAATTTAACGTTTTAAAGCACAATGGTTACTATATGTACCACCTGCCATAACATTAAAAATCTGTTTTTTATACACAGTTTATTTATGTGATTATATTACTCTCAGAATAAACCCAGTATTTCCCAAGAAGCATTCATGGTCATTTAGAGGTGACGCAGTGTGTTTCCCGCGAAGAAGTGAATTTTTACGACTTAAAAAACTGGAATCGAAATCAGTAAGTGGGCGGAAAAGATTATAACTGAACCGAAGATATAATGGAACTATGTAGGAGTGGGGGCCTGTCAGAGGCGTAGAGATGAAAACTTGAGTGGAGTAACCCCAAAGGAGGGAAATAAGAAATCCGTTCTTCGAATGGCTAATGTATTTAGTACGAATCCGTATTTGAGGAAATTGCGTAAAGAAACAGATCACTAACTTGGGTGCTGATCATGCCACACAGACTGAAGGATCTGAAGAAAATACGGCGTAACTAAATACGTCCTTCCCAGAGTTTCTTGCTTGAAATACATCCAGAGAAATAGTTGTCATTTCTAGCGGTAAAATTCCCGTTTCTCCAGATTGAGCCTCATAATATGATTTGTACAGTGGAACCGTGTGGGAGGTTGCTGAAAGCATTGTGACGTCATGTAGAGCTGTTTTACGTCGCAAGTAGAAAACCAGATTGAGAGTACTCAATGCCATGTATTTTTAGAATGAGTTTGGGGAGAGAAAGAGCATGCATGCTGGCTAGCCTTGGAACTCGCAGAACCGGTCTATATTATTTTTCGTGTTTTGCTTGCACCAATTCACGTTACTTACAACTCACCTTAATCTGTTGTCGCCATTGCTCTGCACATATTTTGCCGAAACACGAGATCTGGGAGAGTGCTAGACGTAGGACTGAAAGGATCCAAGATTGTAAGTGAACCTGAGGCCAAAATTTATCTTTTTCTGAAAAAAAGGAAAACAGCGGTTCTATGAAGCAAAATTTACTATATCACCGAAACCAAAATGTAGAATTCTGGACTTCGACAGAAATTTTCTGAGATTTCGTACCCGACAATAACTCCGGTTGTAGAACACAAAAGGCTAAAATGGGATCCTGTTCTTAAACCAAACCTAATCATTTCCTTAACATTCATGTACTGTAATGTAGTGGTATTTTCCGATCTCTGCTCCGGTTTTGCAAGTGACCCCTCATAAGCATTCCGGCCACCAAAATCCACTTTCTTTAGATTAAATTAAGAGATTAGCCTCCTTGACAAAGGCTATAGCTCAAGCGGTTAGTCGCTGGCTTCCCACCGCGGCGGCCCGGGTTCGACCCCGGGTCTGGTCAAGTGGGATTTGTGGTGGACAAAGTGGCGCTGGGGCAGGTTTTCTCCGAGTACTTCGGTTTCCCCTGCCAATCTTCATTCCACCAATTGCTCCACAATCACCCTCACCTATCATCTGGGGCTGGTACAGTAGGCCAGAAGTGGCAGCAGTACAAGGGACTTAATCCCACCCCACTAGCAGTAAAAGAACCTTCATATATCACAACACGGAGAAATATCATCCTGAAGCTCCTCGTTATGGAGATTCTCCATAAATGCTTCAGTATATTTCAGTAGGGTCTTGGAATGATGTATGCGAAAGGTTTGCATTTCTTTACTTGAAACACTGAGGAACTCTCTCTTGATTAAATCAGTTCATATTATACAATTCTTATAAATACAGTAAGTTGCTCTACGGAGAGCATAGATAGCGTAGTCGGTATAGCGACTGGCTACGGGGTGGACGATCGAGGGTTCGGCGTTCGCGTCCCGGTAGGGCCAAGAAATTTCTCTTCTCCGCATCTTCCAGACCGGCACTAGGGTTCACCCAGCCTCCTATTCGATGGGTACCGGGGGCCCTTTCTCCGGACGTAAAGCGGTAAGGGCGTGAAGCTGACCACTCATCTCCAACTAATGCCGAGGTCAAGTAAATATGGATCTGTATATCCTCTTCCCTATAAGCCTTCATGGTGTATTGGTGTATTGCTTAATTAGTTAAACAGGGACAGCTTTACTTTTTTACCTTTGCGTTACGGGGACCAGAATTGCGAAATCGTTAATATTAAATCTAAGTTCCCTGTTGCAATAATTAATTACTTAGGTATTTATTTTCAGTCTTAGTGTGACTTTCGTAAATGGCTGAGTGGTTACTACCGCTCATATTTCTCTCAGTTGTCGTTGTTAGTCGTAATGCAACACGTTTTAGTCTTAACACGGCCATTCCTAGGTATATCATATGTTGTACACTGTAACCGTACGTCCCTCGCCAAAATTATTTAATTAAGGGTATGAACAACTTATGCATTGTTTGACACCATGAGAGACGCTCCTTCGGCGAGATACCATCCCGCGACCGTCTAGTTGTAATTCAGCTATTGTCTTCCTTAGGCTTAGGGTGTCACTATTGTCCCTAACGTCGCCTGTTTCCTCCTGGTATCAAACCCATGAACTGACCTTGTGCGAGACCGGCCAGGAGGGTCTTGTGTTCCCTGCTCTTGTGCCTTGAAGACCTAAAAAAGTTTAGGGGCTTCTCGAAAAATACGAATGTAGGACAGATGCCAGGCTCGACCCTTGGCTTTCTCTTTTCATTTTCTTGTTTTTTATGCCCACTGGGGGACTGGTAAAGAGAGGGCAGTCGGTTATAAGGAGCGGAGGAGGACGGTTGTTGAACTGTAGACAGGGGTAGCGAGTAGGATGGACGGAGCGGCGAGCTTGGAGAACAATGTAAATATTGATCATTGAATGAAACTTGAAATTAGTACTTCAATACACGGTGTATTCTGGAGATCCCTGAATTATTAACCCCGAAGTGTGTTCCACTCCCATATCCGAAGCATCCGTATCCGTGGGATAAAGAACTCAAGCTCGAGCGAAAGTCGTGGCAGCTGTACGTCGGCGGACGGCTACAACACTTTCACTGTTGGTTCACTCACCAACATATGTTAATTAATTTTTTCTAACTTTCAATTTTTCAGTAGTTTTAAGCTTCTCTCAGTAAAACTATACGATGAAAACACTTACGGCGTAACATATACCTTGGTATGGCTATGTTATGCCGACATATGTTTTGATATCGCGAGCAAGTAAATGATAAAAGTGTTGTAATATTCACGTAGCAATTTACTAAAGTTGCAGTAAAAGGGCTAAAATAATTACCGTTCGTTGTTGCTTTGAGAACGTTGAGAGTGCGGTAGGTGTGTGTTGGATAGTAGTATACCTTCTTACCGACTGAGCTCTTGGCAGTGGCCTCAAGATGGATTGTAATATGAAAATGGCCCGTGCCGAGAACCAATAACGTTAAAGTAGGCTCTGTGTTGTGATTGGTTCAGATAAGCGGCCATGCGACGACCATGCGACACGTTGTGGAAGGTAATAGTTATGGCGGTTGGAGAGCGTTGTTTTAATAGGACTGAATGTGTGCATGTATATAACGAATAATTTTATTTATAGCCAAATCTTGTCTATTAAACTGCAATGGGTGACTTCCCGTTAGGATTTCGGGAAGTCATTCCTGACCAAACCTTGCCGGAGAAATGGAAGGAATTGACTCTGAATACAGGTTAGTTTCAAGTTTCACATGGAATCTTCACTTTGTAATTCGTGGTATTTTTTTTGCTGTAAATGTTTAGATCTCCTCTTTGTTTCTTGTTGTGTCAGGACAAGGGGAATCGTGCAGAAATATGTTACGAAGATCTTTTCGAATTAAAGACTGATTTTGGAATTAAAATTGACAGGTAACGCAAATTCAAAAATATATCTTTAAAACTTTTACTTGCAAGGAATCGCTACGAGGTTTGCTGGTACCAACACGGGAATAGAACGCATTACAAATAAAGGCGAATTAGACCTAACTCAGGTTGTCTGAACTGTAAGCCAACATCTGAAACTGTCAACAAATTTGTTTTCTTGTGGGGTTTACTAGCTTTACCAAAATTTATTATTATGGAAATAAAGAGGAGCAGCCATACTTTGTGTCATCATTCATCAATTTGACCATATTTAGAGAATAGTTAATATCTAGTGTACAGTTTTTACACCCCTGGGCTTTTTGGCTACAATATTATTCCTTTATTAGCATTACAGACGGAAGCGCTGATAAAGTGAAGCAGATTCACTGCTTTATTTCAGGGGGAACACAGAGCACATTGCAAGACATCAAAGTTCCAGAGAGAGCTGGTGGCTACTGCTATAAGGATTCGACAAAACATTACACAAGAAACAGATTTATTTATTGGTAAGTATTCTTTCACAATATACTTCTCATTATTTATGTTTACGTTATTCAGTTTGCAGCATACATGTGCATCCACTTCGCTTCACCATATTCACAGTGCTTGTTGCAGTTAGTAACCTATGCATTGTGCTTGAGAATGAAACTTCTATCTTTCGTCTTCATTGTTGCTGTTATATTTGTATCAGCCTTCACATTTTCTTTTAGTTCATATAATTGAGAGTGCTGTGTCTGTACCATATTACTTTAAAGGTTTTATGTAAAAATCATATCATTCCATATTAATTTTTAGCCCCAAAATATTTCTAAAATTTTATATCAATATGAAACTTGGTCTGTCATTTGGAAGAAGAGAGATTGAAGGAGTTTGAGAATTAAGTCCTAAGGAAAAGATACAGACTTCAGAGAGGTGAAGTAAGAAAAGTAATTAATAAGCATGAGGTGTACATGCCAACACACATGGGGGAACTAGAATTCCTACAAATTGTTGGGTGGAATATTTCAAGGGAAATAAATGTTTAGAAGGTGGAGGCATAGATGGGAGGATGAGTGAGAAACTGTATTAGAGAAATGAAATGTGAAAGAGTAGGCTGGATTAACCTTTAACGTCTAAAGTGTACCGATCGGTACAGTGATGAGTATGGTTGAAGTGGCTGAAGTACACTGATTTGTGTCGTCGGGCATTTAAACTTTGCTAGTGGAAATGCTCACACACTCTGACAGTAGAAGTGAACGCCCAATCCTATATATTTAGTCCTCAGTAGATTAAAATTCAATGCACATACCATTTTGTATTTATCTGCTTGATGTGTATACAGGGTTCACCCCCCACATCATGTAACCGAATCTAGCCTTTGTATGGTACCTCTTGAACCACCCAAGAATGCATCTTCCCACGTCACATGTCTTGCACTTCAGTTGCCTTTCAGTTTCAGCATCTTTAAAACAATGAATCATTGCCATTATATGATGATATGAAACTACAATCTTTGAATTCACCATGAACTCACATAACACTGATTGTACTCTCTATCTCAGCTACGATGCATCTGTTTGTTTACGACTCTAGAAAGGGCAATATTCTGTCTCAAATGCAGTGGAAGAGGATGGCACTGAAGAAGGGAACAAAGACCCTGTAACATTCCTTGAATTGCAGTGCTTTCACTTTAATGTCCTTTAGTCAAAAGCCTCGAATATCTGAAGAGTGCAACAAAGATGTGAAACTTGCCAGCAGAGAACCAAATGGTTTTGTTGCTTTCAGCTGGTTTATGGCACCAGAGAATGCGAAAATATTTCAAGTGCTGGAAGCAGGAGTGATATTATAATTGAGAACTACTCTAAAAAGAAGCTGGGAACAATTTTTATAATATGCATACAAAAAAATTAGAGTATAACTTGTAAGATTTGAGGCTTTCACGGCGGTGACTATGAAGAAAGCAGTCTTCTGGGATTTGGCACCATGTATATGTGGTGTTAACCGACGTTTCGGAGGAACGTATCGCCTCCATCTTCAGGGTAGAAGAAAAAACATATAAGAAATCTGCAAGCAAAGAGACCGTGAGAACCGGTAAAAGCAGACTGGAAAAATACACAGCTATGTGAGAGCAGTGAGGGAGAAGGGGGAAGGGCAAGTATACAAGTGAAAGCAGTAGTGTAGGAGGGGTAGGGGAAGGGAGCTGGGACAAGCGTGGTTTTTGTGTAGGGGAGAGAAAGGCAAGGTTGAAGGCTGGGCATCACCCGTGAGCTGAGGGGTGGGGCTTGTTATGTTGGTTGGTCATGGCCTGTGTGGCCTTCTGGATCTGGCGTCATATCCCGGTGGTGGTTTTTTAAGAGAACAGATGAGAGGTTTCCAAGACTTGCTGAGACAAAACCCCCCCCCTCCCTGTTCATATTTCCTGGATGCAGTTCAATCTCAATTGCCTCCCTAATAATGCGATCCATATAGCGGGTCTTGGTGGCGAGGATGGAGGTATTCTGAAGCTGAATTCGGTGTCCCAGATCGATGCTGTGTTCAGCTACGGCCGACTTGTCCGGTTGTTCGAAACGGATGTGCCGCTGATGCTCCTTCAACCTCATGTCCACGGAGCGGCCTGTCTACCCAATATAGACCTTCCCGCACTCGCATGGGATACTGTATACACCCGGTGTCCTTAGGCCCAGGCTGTCTTTAACCGGCCGGAGGAAATTGGATAACGTCGGTTAACACCACATGTACACAGTGCCAAATCCCAGAAGACTGCTTTCTTCTTAGAGTATAACTTCTTTGTCTAAATATTTTCAAATCTTATGTTATACTACGCGGCAGTATGTTCTTTGCTAATAAAAACAAAATTAATTCCATTCATTTATCATAAAAATTGTATTAGATACATCATTTTTAAATAAAATGTAGGCATCCTAACAGGAGCTGACATTTAAATGCACACCAGCAGCGAGCATTTAAATAAATTCCTGCCAGCTCAAGCTAACACCATGTTAAAAGTCTGGTGTTTAAAGGTTAACTGGCTTAGTACAGAATTCAATATGGGCTTTCGTGGACTGCCTGATGAATCTTCAGATTTCATAGATGTATCACTTTCTTTCTTGACACGTTGAGTACCTATCTACTTCCAAAGGAAGTCCATGTACCAGATAATTAGTTATACAGTGTACAGCAGGTCTTTAAGTTACTCCATTAGTTTTGTATACCAGTTTGCTTTCTACACCAAATTAGATTCTGTCAAACAATTTGGCAGTCAGGATGGTATAATCAAGGTTGTGATGTTGACAGGCGGATATATCATGACGTCCTGGAGTTGGTTGAGCACAGCCTGGATGTGAACTTGGTGGGGAACAACATCCGCTACAAGTTCCAGGACACCCCAGTGCTAGAGGGATTAACTATTCATGAGACATACAACAGTATCCTGGTGCTTGTAGCAACTGTGTCTAGTGTGCATCGGCTGTCATTTCCACACCCTGATAAGATTCATAAGCAGGTACACCTCATCAGATTTTTAGGTTGGCTGCTTTGACACAGCAGGATATGACTTGAGCAGTTGATAGCCATTCATTTGGTCGAGACCTTTATTGTTATGAAATCCAAAAAATCATCTCCATTTTCTAAATAACTGGTTACTAGACCTTGTCTCAGGACAAATGAATCCATCCACATCTTCTCATCCTAGTTCTGTGTGAATACCTTTAATATTATCTTCCCATCATCTTAGTCTCACATGTAATCCTCTCTTTTCAGATTTTCCAAACCTAAATTTTCATTTATATCATGTCTCCTATTCATGCTTCATTCCCTCTTATCTTAACCTTCTTGATTAATCACCTGCCTAATAGGTGAAGAATGGCACTGTTGAGTGGTCAACATTCTTGCTTAATTTTTGGGTGGTCACCTTTTCAAATGTGTACTTGTAGGCTGGCTGTTTGAGGCTTTCTGTGGCCTGTATCAGGTGGTCCAGGCAAAATAAACTCTGAGCACCGCTATATTCTTCCCGATTCACCATTCACAAATCATTGCACCATCCAGTTACAGTGTCATTAAACAATCCAACAATCTGTGAATATTAGGCAAAGAGTACGGCTTATCAAGCTACTCATTCTGTAATATACAGGGCCAACAGAAATATCTGATGGTTTTCAAAATGATGTTGCCTTTGAAACAATGGCACTAATGTAATTTTGAGGTTAGATTGGAAGAATACAAGTGCAGGACTGTTGTTTAGCTACGTGACATATTTAAAAATAATTTATTTTTATTATTTTTTTGTTCCTTGACAACATCATGTGTCAGGCTGGATGTACTGTTGTAAACATGATGTGAATTGTCTCATTATCCGCTGCAGGACCTGCTTTGGAATTTTTCAAGTTACTTTGCAGAATCATGTTTTAAGGTATTCAAGGGTTGCTTGTCATCATGTTTTAAGGTCTTCAAGGGTTGCTTGCCATGCTTCATACATTTTCTTCTTCAGATATATTCAGAGAAAATGTCTGGAGTAGAAAGTTGAACTGATTTTATGATCCCCAAAGAGTTGTGTGTGTTCACAAATGTATGCCATTGCATCTCATTCTATGCCAGTTGAATGTAGTTCTTACATCTTCATATCCTGTTTCTCTAATGTCCTTTTAATATTCGATTCAGAGGATCTATCTTGAAGAGGCAAATTCCAAATCCAAGGGTACTTTATCCATTGTTTAGGTCATAGCAAAGAATCTGTTGAAGTCTGAAGCACTTCATGACAACTCAGTAGTGACTGATTATTTTACTGTTTATGGCTAACTTCCTTCCACAGCATGAGGAAGTGCCATGCTGTGATGACAAGGAAACTACGATGTAAATGGATTGTATGATCAGTGTATGTGAAATGAGTGATGCCGCGTCAGTTGGCTTTGAAACTGATTGAGGCGCTGTTGAATTCCTTCTTTTGGTGAATTTACTGTTTCAGGAGCATATGTTTGCCCAACATCCAGACCTGAGCGTCTTGTCCATTTTTGCTGAGGTCACTGTTAACTCCGCAAAAGATCCCACAACATTCCACGTTATAAACAACACAGTGGCCAGTAAGTACTTCTTGGCATGATGGAAGCCATTAATCTGAATATATTTCATTTCCTTGAGTAATTGATTATATTCAGCCAATTAACCCTCTTCGTGGTCTGCACACATTTACTGTGCATCTCTTTAACTGATAGCTACATTCAGTATAAGAAGCCTATAAATACTTTCACAGGACCAAGGTTTAATTCTCAAGTACTGTGTAACAAAATGAAATGTATTGTGACATGATGTCTATAAGCCAGAATAGTGAGACGAGTAGAGGCAGCCATTGATAGGCAGCACCATGGTAAATGCGTTTCTTTGGCAACAGGCACTAACAGCAATAGAGTATTCAGTGTTTTCTGTGTGACCATTGCTAGGCAATGACATAAAAAAATAAAAATGCAAATAATATCTACTAACTCAGTAATTACTAGTATCAATTGTACTAAATTTTTGGGAGTAAACATTGACAGTGCTTTGCCATGGAAGGACCATATCACTGAATTTCATTAAGATTAAGTAAAGCCTGTTATGCAATAAGGGCTACAAAGCAGTTTATGTCATTGGACTCAATGAACATGATCTATTACTTCTATGTACACTCTGTTTTGTCTTATGGTGTTATTTTCTGGGGTAATTCTCATGAGCAATGAGAGCATCTTTAAAATTAAAAAAAGAATTATAAGAGTTATTACCAGTTTGGGTAAGTATGATTCATGCCAGGAATTGTTCAAGAAACTGCAAATATTGCCACTTCAGTCTCAGTATATTTTCTCACTTTTTGTTTTTGTCATTAAGAATAAAAGTTACTTTATACGAAGGTCGGATAAAAAGTAGTGGCAACGCCTCTATAGTTCTGAAATGACTTTATTACCTGAGGTAAACACACTTACATTCCTTCAATATAGTCGCCTCCCATTTGTACCACCTTCTGCCAAAGTTGTGGAAGGCATCATAGACCATCAGCGCGTCCATTTCTGTTGATGTCCAGCAGTGACTGCCCTACAGCATGAATAATCTCCTCTCTTGTGCTGTCAACGTGTCCCTTGCAGTGGTGCTTTCATTTTGGCAAAGAGACCATAATCGCACGGACTCATATTGGGTGAGTATGGCGGATGTTGCAGTATCTCCCATCTCCAGCGGCGAAAGAGATCCTTGACAGAGTCAGCAGTATGAGCCCTTGCATTGTCATGAAGGATGATGGGGATTGTTATCAACAAGTGTCGTCACTTTGTAGTAGGCAGCGTTTACTGTCTGTTGTTGAGGTACAGTGTGGTGCAGTATCACTCCATCATTGTCGTATGCCACAATGAACATCGCCTTCACATTACTCTGTGTAGGGCGCACTTTCTTTGGATGAAGAGAGCCAGGATGCTTCCATTCATTTGATTGTCTCTTCAAATGTGGTTCATATGAGCGAGACCAAGTTTCATCCAGAGTGACGATTCTTCCAAGGAAGTCGTCACCTTCCCTTTGGTATCAGTCCAAAAAGCCCTGTGCAGTTGCATAACGTTGCCATTGTTGCACCTTGGACATTGTATGGGGTACNATTGTTATCAACAAGTGTCGTCACTTTGTAGTAGGCAGCGTTTACTGTCTGTTGTTGAGGTACAGTGTGGTGCAGTATCACTCCATCATTGTCGTATGCCACAATGAACATCGCCTTCACATTACTCTGTGTAGGGCGCACTTTCTTTGGATGAAGAGAGCCAGGATGCTTCCATTCATTTGATTGTCTCTTCAAATGTGGTTCATATGAGCGAGACCAAGTTTCATCCAGAGTGACGATTCTTCCAAGGAAGTCGTCACCTTCCCTTTGGTATCAGTCCAAAAAGCCCTGTGCAGTTGCATAACGTTGCCATTGTTGCACCTTGGACATTGTATGGGGTACCCAGCACGCTGCAATTTTGCGGTATCCAAGAATATCGTGCAGAATGTGGAGCACGGTTTTGTGACATACGCCCACCTCAGCAGCTAACTCCCACGCAGCCCATCGACGATCGACATCAAACAAAGAAGCAAGAAGCCGAATTGTGGTTCTCAACATGGGTTGTCCTGAATGGCATCCCTCCCTTCACGGAACAATTTCACCCATCGTGCCACTGTGCGATATGGCAAAGCAGCATCACCACATGCTTCTCGCAGTCCCTGATAACAGTTTTGTGCACTACGACCTTGTGCAACTTCAGTTTTTATCCAGGAGCGTTGTTCTTGTTTTGTAAACATGTTGTTAGGGTGCTTGAACTGGGCTCCTGCACTTCAAGATGATGCACAATGCAACTCAGTGAAACACAACCAGAGCCACTCACTACTCTACTTCAACTGAACTTCTGCTATCAGCTTCAGATGGCAGTAGTGCCACCTGATGCACATCTTTTATGTTACAATAGTGTTGCCACTACTTTTTATCCAACCCTTGTATCTAATTTTGATATTTGTGATATCAATACACGTTACAACTATAATTTACATTTTCCATCCACAAATGTAACAGTAATACAGAAGGGAGTACTTTTCTCTGGAAGTAAGATTTATAACCACTTACCATTATATATTAAAATGTAATCTAAAGATATTAAGCATTTCAAATCCTAATTAAAAACTTATCTTTCAGAACATGCGTTCTATAGTATTGATGAATATTATCACACAACTTGTCAATGAATCTGTCTATTTTGAATACTCTGATTAACTGTGGAGGACTTTTATTGTATATGCTAGTAAACTTGTATTATTGTTACATTTATTGTTTTGTAAGGGCACATGCGCATTTATATTTGAGAATTGTGCTGTTTTGATTTTTATTTGGGGATCTGTTATGATTGTATGACATTATTGCTTTTATATTTTATTTTACTATGACAGGTTCTATATCCAGTAGGGTATATGTTGACCTTGTATGGATTAACAGAATGCTAATAAATATGAATGAATGAATGAATGAATGAACATACTCATATTTATTAATATTCTTAGGAAATGTATGAAAACAGAACGTAAAATGTTCAAAGGGCTGCACATTGTAAAAACAAACTTTCTGCTTGGAACTTTTTGGCTGCATTTTTCAAATTCTTGCTGAATTCCATATCTTGCTATATAGCTTTTGCTTTTCTTTTTATCTTGTAACAAGAAGTTACATGTATAGCATCACAATTTTGAAAGTTGGTTTCATTGTCAAAATAACCTCAATAGTACTTTGTACTTCATATTCTTTATTTTGTTACTGTTGAAGTTAAAGATTAAGGGGTTGAATGTTGCAGATATGGGACACGCAGTAGTGTAGTGGTTAAGGCACTATACTACAAGTCAGAAGGTTGCGGGTTCAAATACCGATTTTTTTTCAGTTGACCTAATCCTTCCGGCTGCACTGTTGCCCTGGGGTTCACTCAGCCTCTAACAGAAATGAGTACCAGGAATTAAATAAATAATTTTCCTGGTGAGTAAAGCGCGGCTGGCGCGTAAGGCTGACAACCTTACCGCCATCTTTGAACTGATTGTCTAGATAATGCGGGACCCTCAACATCTCACAACCCTATGGGCCTTCATGGCCTGTTACAAGGATAGCTTTACTTACTTACTTTACTTATGTTGCAGATACACCTTTGCCTCACACATCTGCATCATGGCTCTCTGTGAATGAGGAAGCGCTGTTTGCTCTGGCTTATAGCACTGGCCCCGTTCTACTCATTAGGATGGACCCATTGTCTGGTATGGTGAGAGCCAGTGAACTGAAGCAGGAAACTATGGTACCACGTTTCTTGTCGGACATAGCTGGTGCTCTCAGGTGAATGTGTGCCTCATCCCAGAGAGAGACTAAGATAAAGATATCCTAGAGAGATATCCTAGTAACAGCAGAATACATTTTGGGGTTTTCAGTGTATCCTAATAATGGCAGAGGGTAGTTTGGATTTTTCACTATATCCTAGAAATGGCAGATGACAGTTTGGGTTTTTCACTGTATCCTAGTAATTACAGAAGATAGAGTTTTTCCTCATATCACAGTAATGGCTTTCCCCCATATTATAGCAGCAGCACAGTGTAGTTTGCCCCACCCCCCCAATATCCTAGGCAATGATCCTTTTGTCATCACCATCTCAGTACCCTTCTTATAGTGGAAATAATGGGGAAATAAGATGGCCGGGACTCACGTCAATGTTTGTTTTCAAGTGATTGTCGTGCCATATTTAGTCAAAACAGCTGCAAGTGTGTGGCAGTGTATGAAGAATGAACAACTGAAAGAACAAACAAACAGAGGCAGACACTCCTTCTTCATTGCAGATGTAAGCGTGTGTACTCAGAAGTGGACTGCCTGTGTGGTCTAGTGGTCAAAGTTCATGGCTACAGATCCAGAGGTCCAGGTTTGATTCCTGGCACTACCAGATTTTCTGAGAAGTAGTGGGTCTCGAGCAGGGTCCACTCAGCCTCGTGAGGATAATCGAGGAGCTCTTTCAAGGAAATTGCGGCTCCGGTCTAGAAAACCGAAATTAATGACCATGGGGATTCGTTGTGCTGACCACACAACACCCTCTATCCCCTAAAGTTGGGACTAACTTTGCCGACAAATGGTGGTTGCTCACTCAGTATAGTTCGCTTGCTGAATAAAACCACGGAGTTTGTTTTGTTTTGTACTCAGAAGCGAGCTTGCCTTTCCACTGTTTTTACCATTCTCTGTACTTAGCATGTTAAATCAGGTTGCATCAGCTCTTGTTATATTCGAGTCTTATTCATGCCTTGTGTTAAACTCAAACCAATCTGTTGTATTTGGGTCACAGGGGCAGAGCAAGTGACAGTGACATGGTGGTCAGTATGGTGCTGCACTCTGTGGGCCTTGAGACATATTTATTCTCCCTGAGTCGTGATGGTAATCTGCGTATGTGGTCATGCAGCCGTGCACAGTGCATCATGGTTTTAGACATGCTGAACAGTATAGCTGATACAGGTCGGAACCTTACACAAGGTGGTAAGTTGCTGCACATTAGTACTTTCATGGCTACCTTTTTTTTTGTTGAAGCTAACTGCTTTTGGAGTCAAACAACATTTACTAGGTGGTTCAAATATGACCGGGACTGATTTTTTTTTTGTAAACAAGCCACACTGCGCAGCAGCTGTGCGACCTTGAGAGAGTGAAGCCACAATCTCCACCCTCCCACCTGTTAGGGTTAGAACCTGTTCATTCCTGTCTGGAAGTTGCTAGAGTGATGAGTGAACAGAAGGTACCGCTGAGCATGGCACAACGCATTGTGATCAAGTTCCTCATTGGAGAAAACGTCCCGTCTGCTGAAATTCACCACAGACTCCAACAACAGTGTGGGGAAGAATGTCTCTCACGGACCTGTGTGTTTGAGTGGTGTAAGTGCTTCAGAGAGGGCAGAGAGCGCATGGAGAGTAAACCGCATGATCGTCGGCCGCGAACATCCGTCACCAAGCCAAACATTGATCGTGCAGATGCACTTATTCGTGAGAATAGGCGCATCACTATCAGGGAACTTGGAGCAATGCTGTCCATCAGTGTTGGTAGTGTAGAAGACATCATGAAATACCACCTGCACTATCGCAAGGTGAATGCATGGTGGGTACCACGCACTTTGACGGACGTGAACAAAATGGTGTGCATGCAAGTTGCCAGTCGTCTCCTACAGCAGTTTGAAGATGAAGGTGATACATTTTTGAAGTCTGTAGTGACCACCGATTAAACGTGGGTGCACTGCTTCATTCCCAAGTCCCAGCAATCATCACGCGAGTGGCAGCATACCAGTTCTTCTAAACCCAAGAGAGCGCGGAGGAGCCGTTCAGCAGGAAAAGTGATGGCAACGTTCTTCTTGGACTGGCAGGGGGTTATCCATGTAGATTTTCTGACAGATGCCAGAACAGTCAATGCAGCTTATTACTCAGACCTGGCAACAGACATGAAGGAAAAGATCCGATCCAAGTGGAAGAGAGGTGGAAAGCGGGTAGCCTTCCTTCAAGACAATGCACGCCCCCATATGGCCAAAACAACAATGGAAACCCTCCGGAAATTGAAATGGAACCTTCTGACACATCCGCCATACAGTCCCGATTTGGCACCAAGTGATTTCTACCTGTTCGGAAGGCTCAAATCAGACTTGCAAGGCATACAGTTTGTGGACAATGACGCCGTCGTTCAGAATGTTCGGGAGTGGATATGCCGCCAACCACAAAACTTTTTGGAAAGGGCATCAGGATGCTTCCAGAACGTTGGAAAAAATGTGTTGACTCCGGAGGGGAGTACGTTGAAGACTGACATGTGCAAGTAAGTGTTTGGCAATTTTGGTTTAAAAAAAAAATTAGTCCCGGTCATATTTGAACCACCTTGTAGAACCACTGAATGTTTTATTTGTCTAATGTGACTGTGCTTTTGAGACCACATAGGTTCACTGGCATTCCATTTTTAACACTCATTTTTAAAATTCTGATGTTATGTGGAAAAGGTTCATATTAATCCATATCTTATTTCAGGAAATCATTTGTATTGTACAAGGAGCTTCTTACTTTTGTTGAAGCTCTGTGCTTCACGGCGGCTGATGCACCAGCAGCTGCAAGGTGCATACAAATTTTGTCAATGAATGACTATGTATAATGGGCAATAACATTTTAAATTAAGGAACGTTATTAACTTTGTGCACTACTTGACAGTATTATATTTCACAGCGAGCAGCACAGTTCATGCTTGGGAATTTGTTTATGATTTGTCAGCAGTGGGCAGCAGTTGGCAGCAGTTATCAGCTCCATTAGACATTTGTTCTTAGTTACAGTTAGTGAGCAGTGTGCTCTGTCATGGTTTACTTTAGAGCAATGTGTATTTCTGTATGACACCTACGTAAAATATCGATCTGCTAGAAAGTATTGGCAAAAATTTTGACATAAATTTCATGATGAAAGAGTTCCCAACAGATAAACAGTTCACAGTTTGGTGAATAAACTTAGGTCGGTTGGGACCCTTTAATATTCAAGAAACAAAAACATAGGTGCCGAAAGCTTACTGTGGAAGAGTTAGATGACATAGGAGACGGACTTGAACTTACACCTAGAAAATCACTGAAATGTCTAGGCTAGGAGACTAGAGTGTCAAATTGTAGTGAAAGAATGGCAACACAATTGCTGAAGCTTTGACCATATAAAACAGCAGTAATCCACACTTTGCAACCAGGCAGTCCATGTAGCAGGGTTCATTTTTGCACTTGCTTCCTACAGTCTGTCGTCAAAGATGAGATCAATCTGCAGTTGACAGGGACGGAATTTGCAACACCTGTGATATTTGATTTGTATCTGCTTCATTCCAAATGTTATAGGCCAACAGGCATATTGATACAGTGGCAAAATTCGTATGTGCCTCACAGCTGGCGGTGCACTGGACACCGTGAACTGGGCAACAAACGTAAGAACCGCTCTATACTTACCTAATGCAACAGGCAGATCAGTTCATTGTGCACAAGGGCCTTGAAATGAGATACAGTAATGTTATATTTTAGTGTCCTGTTGCACTGATTTATGTCCATGATTTATTCTATCCGTCTTACAGTGCATACACTTATTCACCTTACTCTTCTCTCTTGCACTACATGTTTCAGCACAAAAGTGCCATCTTCAGGTGCTTTTCGATGTACGTCAAACTACTTCATTGCATTCCCTGTTGTCTTTATACTAAAATATATATTCATCATATATATTGATAAATTTTAAATATTAAAAATATTAAAACTGTTCAGGATTTGTCATCCTTATGTCGTATCTCAATACGCGAGTCACACCTATCTTCTTCTATCGGAGTGCTGAAACATGTGCAAGAGAGAAGAGTAAGGTGAATAAATGTATGCACTGTAAGACGGATAGAATAAATCATGGAGATACAATATTTGAAAGTTATTTTCTCATGCATTTAGCTTACTTTAGTAATTCATATTTGTTGCTGCATATATTAAGAACACTGTGCCAGGCAGATACATATATGCAAAAGAAACCAGGTTCCTTATAGCCAGACTCGAAATCTCTGGAAACCTTTCCTTGGTGTAGCAGTAGCATTATACGTGGAAGAGTCATTAAGTTCGTGAAATGTGGTTTTATTGCATCATATTACAAGGTATTCACGTACACTTACACAGATCCACATCAGCCCTCAAAATAGTTGCCGTTGGCTGTTATGCAAGTCTGCCAACGTTGATATAGCTGTCAGAAACATCACTGAAACATATTGGCAGTAAATTCTTGTACGACGCTTTGTGGTCGTTCCACGAACTTATTGACTATGGTAGTATAACTACTATCCATAGCATAAAAGAGTTCACAGAAAATTCTTGAACTCGGTTTCTTTTTATAACATTTACCAATTTCACAACCTTGTCTAATATTATTTTGAGTGCATTTAGAAAATCACAGATTTCCCATTTCTATCTTTGCATCTTCTGTGCATATATTAATACATTGTTTCCATCTGAAATATTTGGAATCACTTACAAATCAGTCAGGTTGAAAATATCTGCTTCTGTAGTGTGAATGGGACTCAACACGTGGGCTCTGTTCAACAGTCGAATAAAAATTCTATTTGCATGATATTTCCCTCCAAGGGACTGCACCCATGCACATTACTCTAGTTGCTTGACATCAGCCTCCTTAGCACCACATAACATACAGAACATGTAGAATACTGTCTCTATCTGTATATGTAGTCCAGAGTATCCATCTTACTGTCCATACCACTTTGTGTCATGAAAACTAATATGAGACAGTTGTCAGAACCGTAGCAGTAAATCTAAACAAGATAATAGATGGCAGAGCAATGGGTTCTGATTTCATTTGTTTGATATTTTAATAGTTGTGAATGACCACTACAGTTGAATCAGCTAAAACCCAACAGTTCATAAATGAATGAAGTTTAAGGTCCCCATTATTATACATTTGAGAGATGCTATGATTATATTTTTATTCACACAGCCCAGAGTCATGTTCTGCGCAAGACTGTGAGCCAGCATGACAACCAGCTTTACCTTGGAGTGTTCCTTTGTTTTGCTTCCGAATCTGAAGTGTGCGTGCTGAAACCAGTGAGTGAACTTGGAGTCTTCAAGCTGATACGCCAGTGCACAGTTTATGCTCCAGATGTGAGTTCATTTTGGTGTACATGAGGAATTTTGTAATTATATGAGTTTGAACAGCCAGATAATTGTGGTTGCAGTGGCTCTAACATTCAGCTTGGTTGGGCGAAACAGATGCATACAGAATTTTTGTGGGGAACTACTTATATAAGTCACTTAGACGAGTGTTTCTCAACCACCAGGCTGCAACCCAGTACCAGGCCCTGGCATCAGTTATACCAGGCCATCGTCGTGTAGAAAAAAGAATTTACAGGGCTGTGGTCTGACAAAGGCCGAGAACCACTGACTAAGACAGTCAGGGGTAGTAGTTTGGAAGATGTGTTAAAATGAATCCTACAGAATGATAGTTTAGAATTGTATGTGATGGTGGGCTTTGGTATTAGAATCGTTGAACTTCTGTGTTCTATTACCATAGAGTTTGTCAAATGCTCTTGGTTGATTAGGAAGTTAGGTAGGATAGCTGTCAGTAATGGTAATTATTTGACCTATTTAAGTATGCTTTTGCAACTTTGATGGTTGTATTTGTCAGATGAGAGTGCATGAGTTGTAAGTATGCAGGCCTATTTCCAGGTACTTGTTTCTGTATTATGTTATTACAGAGTTTATTTCTGATTGGTCATTTGCCCATAAATACATAACATCTGTCTGTATTACTTACTGCAGATTATTTTTTAAAGAATTATGCAAAGATCAACCAGAAGATTGTCACAGTTCCAAAGTTGTGTCATTTTTGTGGGTAAGTGTCATTTCACATTTTTCTTGGTTGCAGCAAGACCTGGTAGACTTTGCCCTTGGCAGTGGGCAGTTGTGGGCTGTATGGCGCACAGCACAAGGTGATGCAGCAGTGTCTTGTGCCCGCCTGGATAGCAGTTCCCCTGAGTGGCAACCTGCCATACTGGAACAGCCTCCTGAAAGAGATTTTGTAGTAACTGACTCTGGAACAGATCCACGTCAGGCCTACATATCATACATCTTCCACCCTGGTCAGTTCCCTCTGACTGTCATTGCCAAAGCTCTGGGTGTAAGTCATGACATACTTTCAGTTCTTTTTTCTCACATTACTCTAATTTTAATGTAATATCCAGATTCCCTAATTCTCTGAGTTTATGTAATGGTGCCGAAACTATTTAATGATAGCAGATGGGTGAGAAGAATACATATTTGGACTCAAGTCTTGAAGTGACAAGGGACTGGAAAAAATTACATGAGTACTTTGCAATTTCTCCTCTTTGTTTGATATTATCATACAATATGTGTGTGAATATAAACGGGGTTTGGATCAGTGAATAGATTTCTTGACCATTTACAGGTCATAACTACAAGTAACTATAGCACTCACTATTTCCACACTTTGCAGTTCACTAGAGCACACAGTCTAGTGTTCTTAGTCTGTTACTACACATTTCCTGGTAATGGCTCCAACAATGGCTATTCCTCAGCCTCCTGGCTCAGGTGTACTCTTCACAGACTTCTGTACAGAACTGAGTCGCCCCAGTTGTCTTCCTTATAATTCCTTGGCATGGACCATGTAGAAACACCCAATTTCTAACAGTACCTCTGTTGTGCGTCAGTTTGTCACTGCAGGAATGTGTTTACTGAGCCATTGCTCAGAAACAGCCCTTGTATATCCGCCTCTCTTGCAGTTGTCGCAAATTAATGGCTCTACTTGCTACAGTGCTCCATCCTGAATGACCTACAGGTACACCGCCATTTATTCTTTCTTGGTTTCACCTTCCTCCCTGTGGCTCGGTTTGCACAGCGTTTTCCCTCCAACTGCCACGCCATCATTAATGCCACTCATCCTGAACGCTTCCCCCATAGGGTCCAAGTTGGTCCAGGTGTGCTACCGTTGCCCTTCTTTTTAACAGTTGCTTCTTTAAGTCTTGGTCCCTTTTTCCATTGATACCTTCCAGTCTCAGTTGTCATCTGTTCCTGAATGTCAGTCCTTTCTGGGTTCTTGGTACAGTCTTGTCCATGCCTTGTCCATGACAGCAGTGTTCCTTACACCAAGCAGGAATGGCACAATGGATCATCCCTCTGCAGGTGGCAGCCAACTTCTTCCAGGACTCATCATTGCTATGGATCCATTTATTCAGCTTTTGGTGGTGCCCTACAGCTAGATGTCTGCCCCCATGTTGTTTCTTCAATGCTTGACAGTTTTCACTGAGGCCTCTTCTTTAGGAACTTCCTGCTGCTCTGCTATGATTTCTTTTTCTTAAGGTTTGCCTCTAAATCCATGGCTTCCATCTTTACTAGACAGACCTCCATTTTCTCTAGCTGGGAGGCCACCCTGGCCATCATGCTTTCACAGTGGGCATCTAAGTTGACCAGAATTTCTTCTTTCATTTCATTTAGATTGGCATCTGTTTTTGCTTGGTTGTTACATATCATGGCTTTGAACCCTCCTATGCCAGCTATCAGACCTTCCGTTATTTGTTTCATTTTTATAGAATGGCGGTATATGATCAAGATCCAATGCAGTTTCCAGTCCAACCAGTTGTCAAGTGTATGAGTGACTGTAAACAGGGCTTGAATTGGTGAATGGATTTACTGACTGCTTATTCACATGACCCAGAACTACAAGCAGTTACAGCACCGCTGTTAATCTCCATAATTCACAAATCACCACAGTACCTGCTAATCCTTTTCCAATATGCTGTGTCTTCAGCAGGTGTTCCCTGGCAGCGGCTTCTAACAGTAGAGATGCTTCAGCTTCACATGCTGAAGTCCTCTCTTTAGACACCCATACAGAACTGACTTGGTTGCCCCATTTGTCTTCCTTATAACTCCTCTGCATGGACCACGTAGAAACGCATCTTTTCCAACAGTATGACTATTGTTACATGTTGATTAATTGCTGTGGGAATGTGTGTTCTGAGCCATTGCCCAGAAGTGGCCCTGGTATATCCACCTATCTCGTGGTCATCGCATAGTAATGACCATACACACTACAGTATTGTTGGGGTTATTAAATTGTGGCATGGCTTGCAACAGTGCATATGATATTTTGACAGGAAATTTTAAAGGGAAGAGATCATGTGGGAGGTCCAGGCATAAATGGAAGGATAATATTAAAATGTATCTTAAAGAAATAGTTAGTGATAGGACAAACTGAATTAAAGTAGGGAGGGACAGGGTTCATTCATGCACTTCTGTGACAATGGTGATAAACCTTTGGGTTCCTTAAACACAGAAAGTTTGTTTATCTATTCAATAAATGGACTTATAATTAATGTAGATAAAGCACGTATTTGGAAGGAAGGATGGATGGACGTTTTTCAGTTTGTTTAACAATATTTCATCAATTTAAAATGTTATGTAGTGTAACTGTAAATGATGAAGTGTGAAAGATGTGAATGAAATGGATGTGACATAATCATAAGCTGTTGTAGCATTTACCTGGAGAGAGTGAAAAATTATGGAAAATCTCAGTATTGATGGCCTCCATGATGAGAATCAAACTCTGAATCTCTCAGGCATGAAGAATGACTGCTCTTTGATGGATAAATAAATGTATATATGCACAAGTAAGTGGGTATTAGAAAATCAGGTAGTCACCTCCTTGTAAATTGTGTAGATAATTAATCAGTTACTTTTTAATTATGGCAGATTTTCCGACGCTCCTCCCTGCTTTGTGATGTGACAGTATCAGTGGGTGTGCTGAAGGAGCGAGTATGTATGGCTGTAGAGGCAGAAATCCAGAGTGAAGTACAGGATTATGAACTAACTGATGATGAGTATTTGGAGGTTGCCAACCGCTGCTGGTTGCGATTCTACTCTTGCTGCGTTCAGTATCACCAGGCAGGGGCTCGACCTGTTGGCCTGGTTTTGTTGGATCAGTCTGGAGTGGTTCTGGTCAAGAAGCAGCAGATCTCACTTCTCAGGTTTGTCAGATTACAGTGGCATGTTTGCAGTAAATCTTTAAGACACCACCAGGATGGAGTTGTGAAGATGTGTATTCCAGAGCAGCTTAGCAGATTCCATTGTAACTTCGCATTCACATGTGTTTGTTTCTGTAGGCCGATGGACTCACTTGAACACTTACTATTGGTGGGACCTGACCAATGTGTTCCACAGCAGTTCAGTTCAACGCCATTCCTGAGTGAAGATGCCAACACTTGTGCCGACCTCCTCCGTGTCTTATCCGTTCTTGTCAGTCTGGAGAACCAGCTGCCAGATGAAGTTAAGACAACATTTGAGCGGGAGTTGTACCAGCTGAAGATTCCAGACCAGACAGTTGCTGATATTGCTAGGGAGCTCATGTCTGGTGATGACATTGTATGTATGATATCCTGGTTGGTATCTTAGTGGTATTGCATGAACTACACAAGTTATTTAGTGTCAAAGTATGAAAATTGTTTTAATTAGATTAGGGACTTTATATGATAACCAGTCACCAAAGCTGTTGGCATAGAGACAGATGTACTAGATGCACTGTTTGGAAGATTACTTGCACTTGAAGATCCATATGCCTTCTGAAAGCTGTCACCTATTAATAAAACTTCTTACTGTAGAGTTATTGTATATACCTCAACTATCTTTCACTGCTGGATTCGGATCCTTTGGGGTTCACACTGACCAATTGTGAGATTCACTTTCTTGAAGTCTGAAGTCTGTATGTTGTCTACTGCCTTTTACATCATCCTCTGAATGTTTGCATTTTTAAAAATTGTGTTCTTCTGTGCCGCATATGACTTCACTGTACCCATATCTGTTCTTCTGGATTATAATGACAGTGATTTTGTGTGTACCAAATTGCTGGGAAATAACTAATTCATAAATTTTATTCTGTGGCTTGTACATTTCAGATATCTGTAGCGACTGTGTGTGTTTGTGGGGCTGTGTGTAGCATGTTTCTACTGGATAAGCATGCTATTATGTCAGCTTTCCATGTATTTGTGCATAGAGGCTTGTACAACAAAACTGGATACTGACATATATGGACAAATACCGTCTTAAGTGCAACAATTTTATTGTAGTTTTTACTTCTTTTTCCTCCTCCACACTACAGCAACACACACAGAGAGCGCCTACACTGAACAACACATGAACAGCGATAAAAACAAGAAGTGGCCGCTGCAGCACCGTAGATATAGGGCATGTACCCTGAAAAATTTTAATTTGAAAAAGAAAGAGAACAAAGATCTTATAGACATTTTAACTTGAATTAAGGTTTAAAAAGTGCTAATTTAAAAATCAAATCGACGCGTGTAGATTAACAAAGATTTTATACAATTAGAAAGACTGGGATTTTTACATTTTTAACAAGCAGTGTAACAGTTACGTGAGTGATACACACCTGATGATGGCCATTTANCTGACATCCATTATTTTTTTTTTGCTAGTGGGGTGGGACTAAGTCCCTAGTACTGTGGCCACTTCTGGCCTATTGTACCAGCAGCCCCAGATGATAGGTGAGGGTGATTGTGGAGCAGTTGATGGAATGAAGATTGGCAGGGGAAACCGAAGTACTCGGAGAAAACCTGCCCCAGCGTCACTTTGTCCACCACAAATCCCACTTGACCAGACCCGGGATCGAACCTGGGCTGCCGCGGTGGGAAGACATCCATTATCACTACAGGCTGTTCTTCAAGCAATATTTTAAACATCTGTGAAGTAATTTTATTATGTTAATCTGGTGAGGCCTGTTAGTTAAAATGAAAGATTAATCAGCTCTCTGGAATGAAATCTGTGGTTGCTGAGCCAACATGGCGCACAATAAATCGACCACCTTTACCAGCGGGAACCATTAGGCCACCTGAACCATCACGCAGCTTCAAACAGCTCTGCTAGTTTATCTGGTTTTGTGCATTTTAAGAATAATCATGGCCCTTGTGTTGTGGTGTCACCCCATTCCACTGGTAACTTCCTTCTGTTATTGCATCTCTTTGTATCAAGTCCATTTTCTTCAAAATTGTTGGCATTGACTGTTTGCTGCCATTATATCCTGCAGTTCATTTCATATATATGTTTTTTTTTCTTCTTCTTCCAAGCAGCTTTTTTATTGAAATCGTCTGATTTATTTGCTGGCTTGTTGTGCTGATGATGCTTCTGTGGTGAATGAAAGGTCAGTATACCACCTTTATTAATTGAAGATTTCACTTCACTCATTGTTCTTTGAGCACTTCGAAGTCCAGTGCCACAAGTTTCCACCATGCACTCATGACAATTGACAGCATTGTCAGCTACCACTTGAGTTATGTTATCTGCAAGCAAACGAGTATTAGCCAATTGATGCAGACTGGTTCAGCAGCAGGAAGAGCAGGTGGAAGCATTCCTTGCCATGGCACAGCCATCCTTTACCTGGCTTTGTATAGGGTCCCCACAATATCAAATGTGGAAAGTACACTGAAATACTTTGTTTAATTTTCAAATCATCATCAGCATAGACTGAGTGTGTTTGCTGAAGCTGTAACACTTCTTACCTGAATTCTGGAGGTGCCCAGTCTAATCTTGGACAGGACATTTACTGTTCTGACTGAGGTTCATGGTTTTCCCCAGTATAATATCTCATGCTAGGCCCTGATAGCTTATTTCTATGTTCTTTCCAATCCATTGTTCTCTTATTACACTACCGTCTGATACTGTATAGCCTGAGCTTCTGACTTACTAACTTACTCATGGAGCTGAGCCCTTCTGGAGGAGCTGCCAATTCTGCAGCTACTCAAGAATTTCCTAGCATTTTATGGAACCCGAAAGTTCATTACCATGTTCACAAGAGCCCTCCACTGGTCCCTATCCTGAGCCAGATATATCCAATCCATGCCATCCCATCGTATCTCTCTAAGATCCATTCTAATATTGTCCACCCACCTATGCCTTGGTCTTCCCTGTGGTCTCTTTCCTTCTGGCTTTTCCACCAATATCCTATGCACATTCCTTGTCTCCCCCATTCGCGTTACATGACCTGCCCACCTCATCCTCCTTGACATGATCATTCTAATTATACTTGGAGAAGAGTACAAGTTATGAAGCTCCTCATTATGCAGTTTTCTCCAACCTCCTGTCACTTCATCTCTCTTTGGTCCAAATATTCTCCTCAACACCCTGTTCTCAAACACCCTAAGTCTGTGTTCCTCCCTTAATGTTAGAGACCATGTTTCACACCCATACTTCTGACAGCTTCATTAAATAAAATGTAAGGAAGTAAATTAACTCCTGAAGTTATGTAGTATCAGATGGGAAATGGTAGGATGATTGTAAATAGTGAATCAAGAGTGAAAAGGGAAGAAGCAATGATGGCCTGTGTTAAAGTTTTTCACTGCACTTAATGTATTTGACTGTTAAATGGTTACTTCATCTGTTTCACAATTTGTAATCCTAGATTTGGTTCTTGTCCTAAGGATAATTTTCCTGAGTATAGTTCTCTTCTGTCTGGAGTTGAGCAGTCAAGAATAAAGTAAATTAATGAAAAGATGTTACCATGGCTGAAACAACTGTATCTTTTAGTCTTATTTCACATGGGTATAATTCAAATGGTCCATTGCCATTTTTTTTTGTGAAACTGGCCCAACGTTCAAAATGGAATGGAATGTTTATGTTAGGGTATAAGTAGGAATTTTTTTTTGTGATGCCTCCACCTCACAACAAATTCAGAAATTTGAGAATCCAGGTAAGGCCTCTGTTAGACCTGTTCAACAATGCATTTACTGTTTTCTGCTGTGAAAAGAACTTTCAATATACAAATGAGTGGTTTTGTGGAGAGGATTGCTGGTTTCAGGTATGATATCAAAAGTGAGAGACACAGATATTGTATAAAGTCATACATGCTGTCAGAAACCAAGGGTATGGTGTTAATATGGCATGCTATACACAGAACAGCTGGATCATCTGGGTGCGAGGGATACGCTGCAAGTGTAGTGGTGAAGTTGATGCACAGAAAAGCTAAACATTTGACACTCACTTGACGTGGATAACTTCTGTAGCAGTTGTCATCTGTCATTATAGCTGCTGCATCCTAACACATGCATCACTGGAACAGGCTGCAGAAGGCCTGAAATTACATTACATATTCAGTAACCTGTGTAATGGATCTTATTTATACAAAATGTATAAATGGTTTCTGCCATTGTTCATATTGTGATGTACTTCGCATCTATAGAATCTGTTTTTCTAAGTTCTGTTTTACTGTTATCCTATTTATTTGTAAGCATCTTAGTATCTACTACTCTGTCGACAAAGTATCCGACCTTGGGCCAGGAAAACAAAGTTCTGTATCTGGGTGGTTACAGTACCTAATCCCCTTCAAAGTAGGCCCGTTGTGACTCCACACCCTTAGTCCAGCAGCCCTTCCATCGCTGGAAGCAATTCTGGAAGGCTTCTTTTAGAATGGTGTGCAGCTGTGCCATCGCGTTCTGTATGATGTCCTCACGGCTCCTTTTAGCATTGTCTTCAATCTCGGGAACAGCCAGAAATGACAAGGAGCCATGTCAGGAGAGTAGGGAGCCTGGCAAACCTGCGGAATGCCATGTTTGGCCAGGAAACCCTGGATCAGGTGTGACAAATGAGCTGAGGTATTGTCATGATGCAGCTGCCAGTTGCATGTGTCCCACAGCTCCAGTCCCTTGCGCCGAACTGCATCACGAAGATGGTGGAGGACTTCTTGGTAGTACTCCTTATTAGTTTGGCCTAGTGGTGCATACTCATGATGGACAACACCCTGGTAAAAACAGTCACTATCACTTTCACATTGCTTTGAACCTATCGTGCTTTTTTGGGCCTTGGGGATGTTGGATGCTTCCACTGTGACTCCTGGACCTTGGTTTCCGGGTCATATCCGTACACCCACAACTTGTCACCAGTGATCACAGTCTACAGGAACTCAGGATCCCTGTTGGCGCACTCCAGCATGTCCTGCGCGACCTCAAGGTGGAGTTGTTGCTGCTCCGGCAAAAGCAGCTTTACCACAAATCTTGCTGCCACTCCTCACATTCCCAAATCCTCAGTTAAAATTGTGTTTGCGGAACCTCTGCTGATTCCAACCTCATCAGCAACTTCCCAGATGGCCAAATGACAGTCCTCCATGATCAGTGTCCGCACTTTTTCAATGACATCAGCATTTCAGCTCATTGATGGTATCCCGGAACGCTGATCACTGTCTGCCAATATACAGCCATCTTTAATGCGTTTGAACCACTCTTTAATTTGAGTGACCCCCATTGCATCATACCGAAAGCCTGCTGAATTTTGCGGATTGTTTCCACTTGGATATCCCCAAGTTTCTGAAAAACTTGATGCAGTGTCACTGCTCCAAGCGTTCTGTCATCTTGAGCGAAATGAGAATGTGACGAACACGTGTTACACTACTTCACTATCCGGAAGTGTTGTGAGGCAGCAAAAAATCACCCATGCACATGAAAGTCCCTTCTACCAGTATGCTCAATTTCCCCAACCGTTTGGCCATTACTTACAGCGGCAAAAAATAAAGTCTGATACTTTTTGGACAGCGGTGTATGTGAGATCTAGCCATATGTGTATGTATCACTATTACAGGTGCTGAACCAGCAGTTCATGTTAGCTCTACGCAAGAAGCTGGAGTATGTGAAGGACATTTATCCTGCCATGCTAATGCTGATTGAGGCTCTTACTTTGGATGTTGGGCAGTCCAAGGAAATGGTGTTAGATGATGTCACACCTGAGGCATCGCGATTGATTCTGTCTGTAAGCCACCTCTACAGCAGTCATCTTGGTGTCAGTACCATTGCACAGTCCCTGCACCAGATTGCAGTTGTACGGTAAGTAATGCCTCACAAGATAACATGCAGAATTTCGGAACAGGTGTACTAATCCTGTGCAGATTACTGGACTGCGTTCTTTCAATATTTGTCATAATATCTTCTTAACTTCTTAGTGTTTGTTGCCAGCTGTTGCACTCTTTTGGTATTAAAAATGGTCTCTTAGAAAGAAGGACATGTCCATGATTTATTTTATCCGTCTTCTAGTGCATACATTCATCTATCCCCTCTTCTCACTCTCACTACATGTTTCGGCACAAATGTGCCATCTTCAGGTGCTGGTCCAATCCACGACAAACTAGTTCATTGCATGCCTTGCTCCAACAGAAGATGATAGACGTGACTCGCGTAATGAAACACGACGTAAGAATGAAATATGCTGTACAATTTTAATATTTTAACACTTAACATTTATCAGTATATATGATTAAATACCGTCTTAAGTGCAACAAATTTTATTGTAGTTTTTACTTCTTTTCCTCCTCCACACTACATGTTTCGGCCCTAAATGGCCATCATCAGGTGTGTATCACTCACGTAGCTGTTACACTGCTTGTTAAAATTTAAAATTACCAGTCTTTCTAATTGTATAAAATCTTTGTTTATCTACACGCGTCGATTTGATTTTTAAATTAGCACTTTTTAAAACTTAATTCAAGTTAAAATGTCTATAAGATCTCTATTCTTTCTTTTTCAGATTTTTTTGTTGTTAAAATTTTTTCAGGGGAGAATATGAGACTATGTTCCTTTGACATTGAAAACATGTATACAAATATACCAAAAACAAATACCATAAACATAATAAACACTATATTAGAGGAAAACAATGACATAGATAAAGAAAGCCACAAAGAAACAATACATATATTAAAAACAGTATTGGAACAGAATTATTTTCAAATTGACCAAAATTACTACAAACAAACAGATGGTCTAGCTATGGGAGCCCCAACATCGGCAATAATAGCAGAAACATATATACAATATATGGAACACACTCAAATATTTCCCATTCTAGTAAAACAACAAATAGTGGCATACTTTAGATATGTCGATGACATATTAATAATATATGACGAAAAAATAACGAACATAGAACATACACTCAAAGAAATTAACGAATTGCAACCAACTATAAAGTTCACAATTGAAAGAGAACAAGAAGAATCTATTAACTTTCTAGATATAACAATACATCGTAATGAAGATAGCTTGCAATTCGAAATATATAGAAAACCCACACAAACAGACATCATAATACCTAACAGCTCGTGCCATCCATTCGAGCACAAATTGTCAGGTATTAATTACTTAATGAATAGACTCCACACATACCCAATAACAGAAAAAGGAAAACAAATAGAGAAGAACACTATTAAAAACATACTACATAACAACGGATACGACACTAACATAATCAAAAGATCGAATCAGACAAAACGAGAACAAAAATCAAACACAAATGACGACGAACAACAACCAAAAACAAAGTGGGCCATATTTACATATAGTACAAAAGAAGTAAGAAAAATTACAAAACTTTTTAAAGACACACAGATAAAAGTAGCATTCCGCACACGTAACACAATAGAAAACATACTCAAACAAAAACCACAATTAGATAAATACAATAAAAGTGGCATATACCAAATGAAATGTGTAGATTGCCCATTGAAATACATTGGACAAACGGGCCGAACATTTAACGCTAGATATAAAGAACATCTACATGATATTAGAAATAATAATTGCAATTCCGGGTACTCAAATCACATACTAAATACGGGACATTCATACGGAACAATAACAGACGTAATGGAAGTTGTAACAACGGGAAAAAAGGGTAAACATTTGAATACATTAGAGAAATACCATATATATAAAATAAGTAAGAAAGGCCTACAAATGAATGACACACACATAGAAACATACAATCCCATATTTCAAACTATATACGAAATCTATACAAGCTAACGGTACCTCCCTCCCCCCACTACCCATTCCCCCTCCAACACTCACGAACATAAAACACAGCACACAGTACACCAGACAGCAAACGTATTAAAGATAAGCAGCGACACACACAGAGAGCGCCTACACTGAGTAAGTACAAATAACAGTATAAACATATAAGAATAACATAACATGACATAACATAAGATAGTAACAGGAATATTTGTATATTACAGACAACACATGAACAACGATAAAAACAAGAAGTGGCCGCTGCAGCACCGTAGATATAGGGCATGTACCCTGAAAAAATTTTAACAACAAAAAATTTGAAAAAGAAAGAACAGAGATCTTATAGACATTTTAACTTGAATTAAGTTTTAAAAAGTGCTAATTTAAAAATCAAATCGACGCGTGTAGATAAACAAAGATTTTATACAATTAGAAAGACTGGTAATTTTAAATTTTAACAAGCAGTGTAACAGCTACGTGAGTGATACACACCTGATGATGGCCGTTTAGGGCCGAAACATGTAGTGTGGAGGAGGAAAAGAAGTAAAAACTACAATACAATTTGTTGCACTTAAGACGGTATTTATCCATATATATTGTGTGAGTGTAACAGGATGCTGAAATTTAACATTTATCAGTATATATGATAAATATATATTTTAGTTATTTTAGTATGTATAGACAAGGCATGCAATGAACTAGTTTGTCGTGGATTGGATCAGCACCTGAAGATGGCACATTTGTGCCGAAACATGTAGTGAGAGTGAGAAGAGGGGATAGATGAATGTATGCACTAGAAGACGGATAAAATAAATCATGGACTTAAATCAGTGCAACAGGACGCTAAAATATAACATTAAGAAGGACATGAATTGCGATTTTTTGAAAATCACAGAATACTCTATAAAATGTTTAGATCTATGAAGGATGTAAGTGGGAAATTTATGGTATTACCTGTTGAGGAACCCTGTGGTTTGTGTTGATCACATAGTTGTGAAATGATGGGTTGCATATGTATCTGAGATAGAGAAGATAACCACTGCATACAAATTTTCATTGGGTGCATCCTGTTGTGTTTATTATATAAAATTCTTAATCGGTATCCATTGTAACACAGCTTCATGAGTGTGTGAGTGTAGTAACCATGTATTTGCCTGATGACAGCGTTAAAAGCTGAAACATGTAGCTAACGTGATACTGCCCTAGACCATTTCACTGTTGTGTTACGACGGATCCCAATAAAGAATTTTACACTGCATACAAACTGTTTATCAGGAAATTGTCCATTTGGAATGCATATGCTGTATTAGCATGATCAGGGCCATTATAGAGTGATGACAGAATTTTTTGCAGTGTTATGTATATTCTCCATTGGCAGTTTTGATACATAGATATTAAATGTTTGTTGATTCCTAGCTTTTATGCAAACAAGTTATATTTTCTTACAACTTCATGCCTCATAAAATGTAACCTATGTTTATCCATTCTCTGTATTGTGACCAAAACTATCTGGTTTGAATTATTAGTTTCATGAGTACAGTGGTCATAGCTTCAAACTTCCACATGCTGTTAATTTCTGTTACAGTTTGATGTGTTTTGTTGCTTTTGAAAAATAAGTAAATGTGGTCTGTTTTGTAATCTAGAAGACTTTATTTTCATTGATAGCAAGTCGTTCTTTAAATTTGCTACTTGTGATTTAACACAGTATAATCCTTTCAATTCTGCTTTTCAGGTTCTCCATCTGCCGCAACCTGCTGCTATTACAACAGCTGCTGCTGGAGTGTCACCAGAAGCTGTCATATTCAATGGATTCAGCTGGAGTGGACACCATACGATCCATCCTTCTGCCTCGGGCAGTGGTTTTGACACAGGCATATTATGTTGTGATGTGGGTGAGCGAGACCCCAGCCACTGCCACCGTGGCATCCAATATTCTGAACAGCAACCAGCGACGCATGGCTATACTGAAACTGAACGAGCCTCCAGGTTAGTATCTTTATGAGATTTTACCAGTTTTACCAAACTGGGATATTAGGCCAGTGCAGACAAGGCAGAAAGTTATCCAGTTCTCAGGGCCTGAAGATAAAACTTTCCATGTTGCTAAGCACTGAGCCGTTCCATGGAGATAAAACTCCACACTTCTTAACTACAACACTATATTAAGAAGAGTAGTCAGGTTCATTCTATGGATGTGTTACCTATGAATGAGTGAAGAAATGAATGAATGTACAAGGGGTGCCTTGCACTGTGTCCACAGTGATGTATTGTGCTTCCCCATTTCATTATCCCCTCAGCAATCCTGCGCTTCTATTGTCAAGCACTTTAAGTGCAGCTTGTCTGTCAGATAGAATGTAGATGTTCCTATTTCTGTAGTTCTTATCTACATTCTCCACAATACATGCCTTAATGGCATATACTTCTGCCTGGAATACTGTCGTGTACTTACCAAGGCTGAAACTAAGTTTCTGCCTCATGACAAAGCAGTCCACACCAGCTCCAGTACCTTTTTTATCCTGGAACTATCCGTATACCAGATCAGTCCCCTTTTTCTATCGGGCTGAAACCCGTCTTCCCATTCACTCATGTCAGGAAATCTGACTGTGAAGGGTTTTTCTATGGGTTACCCATGGGGGAGAAGCTGTAGTATCTACTCATGTGGAGGCTGGGTCTGCACCACATAATGTCGTGAAGTAAAAATTCCTGTCCAAAGTCATAAAGTCTATAGTTAGCTTGCTGACTGGGCTATCCTATGGCATGTATTTTCTCAGTTCTCAAATGCATTCAATGGGAACAAAAAATAGCCCTCCAGGGTTTGCAGCTCACTACATTCATGTAATCTCAGTATTTTGACTAATGTGCCACTAAAACTTTCCCATGGGGGGAAAAAATAGTGGAACCCTCCTGTGTTCCTGCTTCCATCAGATAATTGTTTAAACTTATGGCGTTGATCTTTCTCTAAATTTTGGAATACTTTGCCTCGAGGCTTTGAACTTGGCAGACCTTGTTCAGTTATGGGTGAAGCACACGGATGTAATGCTTTGCAAAGTACATCTATGCTGTTCTCCATTATGTTGCGGTGCTGCTGCTTTCAATGAAATAATTTGTTCTTAAAGTCAGACAAACTATAGGATTTCATCCAGTTGTGTTCTTTGATGATCAGAATGAAGCCACTGTGATAGGCAGATAAAAAAGCAAAAAGTAAAGTAACGGTATCCTTGTAACAGGCGCTGGAAGCCTGTAGCGTTGTGAGATGTTGAGGCACCTCATCAGGATTCAATCCTCTGACCTTCTGGCGTGTAGCATAGTGCCTCAACCAACTACGCTACCACGTGCCCCCTGTGATAGGCAGATACAATGGAGTTAGTAACATAGAATTGAGAGCATCATGTACTTTGCAGGAGGAAGCATGATGACATCACGACACTCCCAGCAGAGGACTCTTACACTCCTTGAGTTGTTTGTGCAGTCATCAGGATCGTTGCATGCCCACTCACTGCTGCAGATTGATGAAGAATTGATGCCCGTATGGCATGCATCCATGCTTACCTACATCACTCTCATAGGTAAGAGTTGTGTATATTGATCCTACCTTGCCTTGGCAATGATGAGACCATGTTGTAGATGGGAGAGAGAGATATTCCCAGTTGCAGAATATGTTCAAGGGAACCTGTAGCATAGCATGTTCTTCAGACCATAATGGGAAGCTGGTATTCCTCACATCCGCATAATGTTACTTTGTCAGACGTTATCAACGATGAGGGCGTGTGGAAAAGATTGCACTGGTTCCATCAGGTCTCGAACCAAAAACCTCTGGCTTGGGAGTTTTGAAGCATCTCACTCATATACTGCATGGTCCTGACGTTTATAATATGGAACTGTAACATCAGTTTGTGTTGTTCTGTTTACAGTGGTATGTAATTTCCGTTAGTATAGCTTTCCACTACAGAAAAGCCGTCAGTTGTAATCTAAAAATTTTCAGCCATCTTCATTTTTTCAGTTTCTTTAACCATCAGAAGTGGCTTCATGCAAGTAAACTTATGCTTTATCATCATACCAACTTCACTCTAAAGGCTCATCAGTTATTTTTCACAAACAGAAAAATTACACTTCCTTGCACATCCTTATTAATTCATGAGCCACATTCCATTATTTGCCATTTGATGATATATGCACTTTATGAAGCCTGAATTAAACCAAGAAAGGCAGAAACCGACTGAAGACTACCTTTAGGACCATAATCTACTGGAATGTGACACCACACATTTATTATTGATATTTCTCTTTAATTTTGCTGTTTAACCACACTGTCTTTAGTGAGACTACAGTGTTGAGACACCGTGTTTGGTGGATAGGTACTAGTGTTATGGAGGCAGCAGGTTCCCCTGAAACATTGGTGGCTATCTACCAAACTACTCTGTCATATCCAAGTAGACTCCCATGAGTACTCAAGAGTCCCACAAAGAATACCATGGTTGATACTGTTTTCTGATGGCTTCATGACTGCATGTTACAGGTCAGTTGGTATGGCCAGTTTGCCGCCACTTTGTGTTCCCAGAGTTCCTCCTGGCTTCGTGCCAGCATCTGCTGATACAAGAGTATGTGCGTCTGCTGCATGGGTGGTGTGAGTGGAACAATTGCTCGCGCAAGTTCTTGCTTGGCTCCGCATTACTTGACATGGGTGAACCTTATAAGGCCTATGACCTGCTTGTTCAGGCTGCCAAAGGGATCACCACAGATGACTTCATGGCCACTAAGCTAGTGCCATCCACTGATAACCTCAGTGAACAGCAACTTTTGGTGCTGTACTATCTCAAGGTATGAGTTGCACTACTTAAATATATTGGATCTTTCAGAAAGAACACTTTGTTTTAGAAGGAGATTAAATGATTGCAAGAACAACCAGAAGCTCTATTACAGGTAATCAAGATGTTTGAGCAGCAGAGATGCAGTGACTGTGTGGTCAACATGGCAAGCACAGCCATCAGCGTGGCTTTGCCAGATGACCCAAACCTACCAACACTCCATTCTATAGTGTTCTGTCATCACCTGAAACTGGGACATCACCAGGAAGCATACCACTCTCTCATAGCCAATCCTGACGCTGCTCGTCGTAAGGACTGCCTGCAACAGCTTGTAGTTACTCTGTTTGAGCGCCAACGGCTAGACACTCTTGCTGATTTTCCATACCAGGTGGGTTGATATGAAATAATGCAGTTTGTAAACTGTAACTTACCTTAATGCTAGATTGCAGTAGCAGATGAAGGTGAGTGTTTAGTGTCATGCTGTGGTCACTGTGGTCGCTGTGGCCTGTGCAGACACCAGAGCTATTTTGGACATAACTGTGAAGAGGAAAGTTCTTGCTCATGACCAGAATTGAAACTCATTCATCAGCCCCTAGGCTGACTGGGCTATCCCCTCTCATTATATAATCCCAAAAACATCAAGTTCTCAAGTTGTTTTGAACCAGACCTTCGCTTATTGCATTCTTTTCTCTTTACCGTTACATCTAGCAACTGTCTGGTCATTGTTTCATTTATTGGTTTTCCTGTTTAGTTGAAGAGAGTGGCAGATTATGATATTTTCTAATTAACTTAGAACACCTATGCTTCATATTTATGTATGGCGTAATAAGAAGCTATTTCTTATGTTCCATCACAGTTATACTCAGTGACTCTTCAGGGTTAATTCAAATCAGCTGTGCCCATACCCAATCACCCTTTTTCTGGATAGGCCTGTGCTTGGTTTTCCGGCTGGGGAGCGAGATTTTCTGCACCCATATCTTGATGCTGAACAAATCCAAAAATATTGCTGTTTGTACTTAAATCAGTTGATTTCTCAGATCTGCAGCAGAATCCTAATTTGAAGTGTCTTGATCTAGGATTTTTCCTGTATTTTGTGTTTGTTTTTTGTGGTTTTGATCAAAGCCCCATTGAAAATAAATTTTTTCTCAATTAGTGTTTTTCATTTTAGTGTTGCTCACATGCAGTGAATAAAAGTTTAATCCTTGCATGAACTCTGTACCTCAGTTTAGTATCATATTTAGCTGAATGGAAAATGAGGTTTTGTCCTATTTTCAGAATTAAAAAATAAAGGGATGCCTTGAATTTGAATGTGTAAAATATGTCAGTGTTTTTAAGTGTTTTACGCTTTTAGTTGGTTGATGTTACAAAGAAACAGTAAATGCTAACATTCACGCTGTATGTCATCAGCATAACAAGTGAGGTAGAGAAAAGAGACAGAAATTTGTTTCAAGGTCAGGAGCTGTGAGCTAGCATAAACCACATAAGCTGTGAATCAAAAGTTGTAATTTCCCACAGAGAGATATTACAGTGCAGATGATGAATTTGTAAAATGGAGAATGTAAACATGAGAAAGAAGAAACAATGTATAAATATATGTTTTCAGATATTTATTATCTTTCATATATTTCTCTATAATTGT